TTATTCTTATGATTGCTCAATTTATCTTTAAGAAGAAGCTCAACCATCATTTAGATCAAACTATAGCTTATTACAAAATAAGTTAGCTTCATTTAAAAAATACGTTATAGAAAATTTAGCCATAAATCTCATATACCATTCAAAATCTCCAACAAGAGCTCATATTTTGTTTGTGAAGTAAAAAGACAAATCACTACAAATGTGTGTGAATTATTAAGGAACCAAAAAAATTATTATAAAATTAAGTAACTTCTACCTTTAATATCAAGACTTCTTGATCAAATAAATCAAACAAATATCTATTCAAAAATAGATCTACAAGAAGCATTTAATTTATTATATATTAAAAAATGACATAAATAGAGGACTTTATCTTTAATTAAGAATGAATATTTTTAATATAATTTTACATCTTTTGGACCTATAAATGTACTAGTTGCTTTTAACATCTAATAAATGATTTTTTAAGGATTTTTTAGATGATTTTATTAATTATTATATATATAATATTTAAATCTATTTTAAAAACAAAAAAGAATATAAATTTCATATTCATTGTATGCTATAAAAACTTAAATGTGTAAGACTTTATGCCAATATGGAAAAGTATATATTTCATATAATTAAGGTTAATTTCTTAGGATATGTTATTTGAAATGATAGTCTTATGATAAATCATAAGAAATTTTAAAATATCATGGATTAGACGATTTTTAAGATAATAAAAGATATTTAATATTTTTTTAGAATTTACTAATTTCTATAAGATTAACAATAAGTTTTTTTTTCAAGTTGCAACTTTATTTACACGTTTGACTTATAAAGACAAATTTGAATGGAATAAAAAAGCTAAAGAAAAATTTAAAGCTTTAAAGATAGGTTTTACAATATCACTAAACTTGCATCATATTTATTTATATAAGATATTTTTTTATCAAAACAAAAGTATTGGACTTTTTTATAGATGTAGTATTATTACAAATAGAAGTGGATAATAAATTTTAAGTACTTTATGTTAATATGCATTTAAAATCATTGCCAAGCTTGATAGAGTATTTTTTTTGTCAAGAATCATATTCAATATCATTTAATGGCAAAAATAATAAAAAAAAAGGTTTATTAAATGTTCTTTAAAAAAATTCTTATCTTATACCAAAAAAAAAATCTAAGTATTGATTAATAATAAATTATTCTTTTGAAATAAGAGTAATTTTATGTTTAAAAAATAAATTTAATATTAATTTTTAGATCAATATTTTTTTAAATAAGTTTAATTTAATATATCATTAAATTTTTTTTATATAAGATACTAAGAATAAACCTTTTGAATCTCATAAAAAATTTAAGCTGATTTTAAAATATATATATATATATATTTCAAGAAATACATTGTATTTTTTTAAAAATGAAATAAAATTAAGTATTCTTTAAGCTTGTCACAATTTTCTAAGTGAAGTACATTTTGAATATATTAAGGTATTGAAGATAATCTCGAGAGATTTTTGGTTTTTGAAAATGTGAAAGGAAGTTTTAGACTTTGTACCATTATATGGTACAAAAACTATGTTTAAGATCAAAAACTCCTCATCACAAATTTTATTAACTTTTCTAACTACTATGTGTCACAAACATACATATTTATTCTAATATTTATCTATATGATTAAGTAGAAATAGATAAAATTAGTTTCTTTTCATAATATTTTCTAAAAAAGATTATTAGAAATTTTATAGACATTACTTTGACTTTACATGTGTTTGTAGTTGATTGATAGGCTAAAAACTTGATCGACAAGTTAACCATGTGTATTATATGACATTGCCACATAGCTCTTAGTTAAGAGTATATATGGAGGCAAGAATGAAGCCTTCTCTACTCTTCTCAATGCCTTTCTAGTCTATACTCTTCTGTTAAGACTTTTTAGTCTTTTTGTCTTTTGCAATAATCATTTTAGTTTAATACTATATCATCTTTGATTGATTTTCTAATCCTTCTGAGTGATATAAAAATGTATTAAGGATTTCTTTCTTTGAGATTCATGTCCTTGATACTATGTATATCAAAAAAACCATGATTATTTATTTCTATGAATTTTATTATAAATTTTTTAATCTTAAATTTTTTTATAATTTATAATTATAATCATACATCAATTCACTAAGATAATACATTTTGTATAATGTATAAAACTATTATAGGTAAAGAAAGAGCTAGACTCTTTCTTAAAAATATTTATTATTATAATCAATTGCCATGAGATATTATGTATAAATTTAGTTACATATTAATTACACCTATTATAATTTATGAAGATCTATATTGTGATCTATGTCTCTCTTCTTGAGCCATATAAGATAGTAGATATATCAAGAAGAAGACAAATACCACCTCTTTTTATAGAAATTGACTATAATCAAGAAATTAAAATAGAAGATGTTTTAAACTCAAGGCGGCATTAAAATATGTTGGAATATCTTATTTATTAGCACAAATATGATAATAGTGAATGCATATGAGATTCATCTATAAATCTTACAAATACAACAAAAAAGTTGATGCTTTTTATCAATAATATATATATAAAAATCTATATGAAGAGTCAAAAAATTCTTTGTTATAAAAAAAAAAATATGTACAATAAAAATTTCATTCTATCTTCTATCTTGTATTTGAAAGCTTTGACAATCTCAATGGCTTATTTAAAATTCTTAATTTGAATCTTCATATCTTGAAAATAATATGTTTTTACTTAAATAGATAGAAGACACAATATGATTGATATAAAAACCTTAAAAGAGACTCTTGATGTTTAATGATATAATTGGAGGTTAAAACCATTCTTGATGATATTTCATATATTTTATTTGAGGAATATTATAACGGCCTAAAAAATGATCAAATTATAAGGTAATCTTCTTATTATAATATAAGACACTATTGGTGGTTGAGAAGACCTATCAACTACTTTTGAGGAGAATAAAGATCATTGTCTTTTACAAATGTAGTTTGTTGCTTTTTGGAATTTGTCAACATGTGATTACTTTTCCTCATAAAACTCATAACTAAAAGGTTCTAATTTCACAAACATACCAATATTAATGAAAATAAGAAGAGTTACATAGAAGTAAATAAAAGTAAGTAATTTTTATAAGATCTTGTAATAAAGCTTTTTAGAAGCTTTTTAGATACAAATTTGATTTAATAAGAGTTTGTAGGTAATTAATAGATTAAAAACTTGACTAAAAAATTGGCTATATGTTACACATATTGACCCTTGCTTTACAAGTTGGCCATATAGTGCATATGTTAGAAACATGTCTTATATATTAGACACATATTAAATAATATGTAGAATGTTATCACATACTTTCTTAATTAGATATTATATATCAATATAAGAGTGAGGCCTTCTTTGCTTTTATAAATACCTTGTTTGTGTTCTAGTCTTAATCTAAAAATTTCTAATCTCATTATATTTAGTAATAGCTATCTAATTTCTATTTTATATTTATCTTTGGTTTGTCTATTTTTTCTCTTTTAGTAATTCAAAAGTGTATTTTTTTTTTTCAAAATTGTGTTAAGGTTTATATCCTTGACATTATTAACTATGGTTAAAGATTATAAAACTAAATTTATAATAAAAAAATAAAAAAGATTATTTTTTATATACTTTTATAAGAATATTTTGTATATTTATTAATTTTAATTATCAATTAAATTTATCAACATAAAATCATATAAAATGGTTATTTTGCATAAAATTTTGATATATTTTTGGATTTCAAACATATTTTTAAAAAATATTATGATATATAGAAATAAAATTTATATTGTATCTAGATACAATTCTAGCTATAGGAATTATATTTGTGATTGTATTTACATCCACTTTGCATTTAGAAGCTCTTAAATAAATCCTTAGAGATATTTTCTTCATTGTTTAGGAAAATCAACCAACAATCTCTAATAAGAGAAGTTAAAAAAAGATCCTAATTACAAAATATTATTAATTGAAAAAAGCAACAACTTCAATATATTTTATACATTGTAATGAGGCTTTGAAGAAGTATGCCTCTTCTTATATCTAATAATAAGTATTAGCTGATTGTTGTAGGTTAATAATTAAACGACATAGGTGCAAATAAAATTATTAAATTATTCTATCAAAATTTGAGAATTGTGAAGAAATCTTGCTTAAGGAGCCTATGTAAGAATTTATCTTAAAAGAAATTTTCTACTTTAAGTAGATCCATAATAAGAGTTTATTCAACAAAAGGATTTCTAGTACAATTCTATGTATCGATTTTTTAAATTTCAGCTTTTAGGACTTGGCATTCTCTAAACTACAATTATCACTGTAGACAGTTTTTATCCAATTGTTTTATTTTATTTTATTTTGTAAAATTGTAAATTGTAATAATGTGTATCCAAATTTGGAGGCAATTTTTGGTAGACCTTATGACTTTCTAACTTTTAATAATTTTGTGTTGACATTCTCTACTAAAATTGCATTCATTTATTTGACGTCCTTAATAGAAGTCTATGATGGAGTTATCATTTGTCTGGGAATTAACATTAAAATCTTCATCGCTGTTTAAGCAGATGCACAGCCTACTGGGCCGAGAGACATTCGGACTCTCGGTTCCAGAATTTCTCGTAACTGTGAGACCGTCGCGCTAGCCAACTATGCCACCGCCTCTTCAACGAGATATTACGTTGAATATCAATATTTAAATTATCAATAAGCGCAGATGTTCTGTTTCCTGAACCAACGCAGGAAGAAAACTTTTAGTTTCCGCACACCACGGCATTTTTGTCAGTGTCGCTTGTCGTCTTTGCGGGGTCTGCTAGACTTTATCGAAAAGAAGGAAACTGTTTTGAATAATACTCCCTTGAACAGGACCTTTAGAATTAGCATCTACAAGGCAAGCATCAGAACCGTTTTCGGATATCAAAATTAACGTAGGAATCAAGGGAGTGCTATCATGGAGTACGATGGGTTTTGAAATTGGGAAGATCAGGTCTTTGATTTATTTCAGCTGAAAAATGTTTGCGAGGAGCATTAATCAGCATGCCCTCTCCGACTTCTGCATGCATTGCAATGCTCACAATTTGAGGAAATAAGGAAAGTGATAAACATATTTATATTTCAGAGTGTGACTCCCATGAACTGTCCGTAAAGAGTACTCATTTACTCTTCTGCAGCTACCCAATTCGTTCTACAACCAGCATGTAAGGTCCGACCCGCATGAACACACGATTACTTCAATACACTTGAACTGTGTGAGGCAACTAAGAAACAAAGTGCCTGAAGGTAAAGATACCGAATGGGTTAAGAGGTGACAACATCTTCCTTCCCTAAGCTTGTTTTGTTACTCCCTTTCTCTCTCACGGTGTCGCCAGCTCCTTTCACGGTTTCCCCTACTTTTTCCACCGTCTCGTTGTCTGTGGAGTCTGTAATTGCCTTGCCTGCATCCTTTATTTTCTCCCCAAATGCACCCATAGCTTGCTTGGCTTTCTCCTTCACTCCGGGCTCTGGTCCACCCTCGGGCTCCTCCAGTTCGTCTCTCACCCACGTATCAACATGCATCTCTTCACCAATATCCCCTGACGATGTTGTGGTCTTGACAGCTCCTGTCACGTCATCAGCACTGTCGGGTTGGTCTTTGGTGGTATAGCCTCGAGAATATCCTGCAAAAATCTCCTTTCAATGGTCCAATCGCCTAGAATTCTCACACATTTAGCAGGAGTATGTTCAAAGAAATTAACTGAGATTTAATCAATGAAATTCATTTTTCAACAATGGTGTGATCACATCAGAAACCTGATTCAGTATGGAGCTAGCGCAAGATAAAATAGAAAAATTAAACGGGTAATCAAACAACCAAACAGTCTTCCTGGGAATGATCAATTAGATTATCTGCATGAGCTCCATTGCCTGACTGCGAGACTTTTTATTTATACGACACATGCACAGACCACATCTATGACCGAATCCTCTCGAACCTTGGTATACACCAACTTAAATCACATCACAACGCAGTGTACGCAACAACCCTAAATTCACATGATTTCGTTCTTCCCGTGACTATGCAACGAGTTCTCAAGCATATTTACATGAATTATGTCTTTGAATCTATTGTCTCGCAACTTGCGAAACATTTGACGATCTTGATCTGGTCACATTAAATCGCAAGCATGTACTACAACATATATTTGAGAACACTTCTTTTCAGAGTAAAAGTATTGACAAGTACCATACCTGATACTGTGTCGCGGCACCATGCTGGATATATCACACCCAAATTCTGCCAAGACTTTCCTGCTGAAAATACACTTGAACTGGAGGTAATCTGCCCTCGGTCATACAGAGCTTGAGTAACAGTTCGAAACCCTGCAACATTGTTGTGCTGTCTGGCTGCACAAATCAGCATCATCCGAGTCCTCGTCGCCCGAGCTACTGCTGCCATTGTAAGAGCTTCTCAATTAACAGTGATTTAAAACAGGGCTCCAATCGGGTGAAATAATATTTTAAACGTCCAGAGACCCAAAATTGACCTCAAAAGCCCTTGAAACTCAAAAGTGTCATTAACTGACTAAAATCTTCTCTCAGCAATTCTTGTCAATAATGATTCCCAAACCACATCTACAACAAAGACCCTTCTTCGCAGAATTATCTCAATCACGAGGTCATCTAAATCTCGCAACTCTTACACTTACAGGACTAATGCTGCAACGAAACTTGGTAGAACTATAAACCCTGCAAAGAGTTTCAGAAACCTTCAGAATGAGACAACGTCCCATCGAGGAATGTGCTTTTCCTTCCATGGTCACCATCCCATGAGTCGAGGATCCATTTGCAGAAAAGCATCTTCATTCATGCAGTGAACACATGGATGTTGGCGAAGGAGCAACTAATAAGGAAATGAGTTCCGCGAGTCCTGCCAAGTGGCGGGTGAGGCGTGACAGATCATGCTACCCCTTCTGCCGATTCACCAACCTCATGCAATCCCTGCCAGCAAGCCCTATTCTACGGAAATTCCAACTAACTAATGCAAATCTTTCAGAATCAAATTTAAATTATTCACTCTCTACAAACATTAATTTACACAATCAAAATATGTGTTCCACACATTACAGTTCTAGGATTTTCTCAGAGTGATGCACAAATTAAGCATCTCTCACTTTTGATGGGGAGTTTATGATAGATCATATTGAGAAAAACCACAAGTGCAATTCAGAAGTGCTTTCTAAATATTCACATGTCCACACGATGTCTTATTACATGATGCCTCTACAACCTGAAGCTAACAGAATGGTAGTTCAAGATCTGGGCTGTAGCGTAATTGTTTGAGGAGTGGTTGCGGCACATATTCGCAACGTCTCGCTGAAGGCTCTCTGGGCCTGAAGCTAACACTCCAACATTCTCATTCGTATATCTTTCAAGTACTGCATCAAGAACTTCTGAAAGAATTGGCCGACCTTTACGTAAGGTCGTGTAAGATTGGTGGCAAAGTGTCCGAGCACCCAATTCCAGATCATCGCAACCTGGGAACTGATGAGGTTGATATAGTACATTTTCCTGCAATTGAAACTCTGTCTCATTGCTCACGACACTCGCACTTGAATTTCTTTTGTAGCGGAATGTTTTACTCCAACATGTGATGAGAAATCCTCCCATTCCACCTATTCCAATCGCCAAACTACAGAAGAAGAGACTCGCCTGTATCCATGAAGGAATTTTTTCTCCAAATCCATTCTTTTGTCTTTTGAGGGCATGGTGTTGTAGGATCGCAAACAAGGTGATGGAAATTAGAACTGTGCCGAGAATGAGACATGCCATGTGTAGATTGTGTCTAATGGACATAGTTTCTACCAATGAGGGTTCCACATCAGCTGAGTTTCTGGCAACTGATAAGCTTGGTTCAAACTCAGGACGAATTGCATTGTCTCTGGTCACATAAACATCCACCACAATCGTGAGATTGCTGGACTGTAACTGAGGAAAAATGGATGTTGGCGCCAGCTGTTGCAGAATGTGGAGGTCTGCGGATGTTGGCACAATCCAAGTGAAATGGACATGCTGTGGCAAATATGTGTGTGCCGCTTCATAGCGATGCAAAATATCCGAAATCATGGCCAAAAAGGGTGTGATACCGATTCCACCTGCTACAAGAAGCAATGTCTTATACCGCAAGAAAAAATTGGATTCATGTCCGTAAGGACCTTCCATGGAAAACTTTTGGGCAAATGGGCACCCGGACCCATTCTTCTTCGTCGATCTTGTGACCAAGGTGTGCAAGTGTTGGGTCCAGCTAGTGATGCCGAAAGGCTTTACGTAAAGGGTGATTGCTGTCTCATCCAAAGGACTTGACGCCACGCTGAATGGGTGCCATTCAAGAGGTGATATACTCGGAATGTTGATAAATATGAAGCTCAAAGCACTGTGCTCCATAGACGGTAGTTTTGGGATCTTTAACTCCACGACGTCATTCGAAAGAATCTTTGCACTTGAAATCAGCATCTTCTTCCTGGATTGATGAACCCGGAAGAATCTGTCAAGCAGATAGAGAAACACACCACCGATGTAGTATCCTGCCGTCGTCACCCCGACATGATACACCAGAAACGCGAAAAATAGTATATACAATTGGTGCGTATAGTAAAATGCATTGAAAAAACGTCTTCGTATGAGAGGGAGAGCTGTGATCCACATGAGTGATCCAGCAACGAAAGCAATTAATCCAGCTAGGTATGAGACTCCCGTAGGTGGCCATGTGACCAATTTCACCATATGGTGTTTATAGGCAAAGATTCCAATGAAGATGCTCACATGTCCCAAAAGCATAGCCATAGTCAGGTGCCCCAACCATATATGATACTTCACCGCTTGCTCAAAGGGGATGTCAATTGCGCGTAGAATTGGTGACGATCGCGAGACGGGAATGAGCAACAGGGAAATGGGCAAAACGGCCACTCGTCCCAATACAACCCCTATGGGCTTCCACTTCAACAAACCCGCCATAGGATTACCATGCAGCGAACGAAGTTGAGGCAAAAGCTCATTCAAAACCATCCACAGAACCACGAAAATGGTGCTAAGGATGACAAGAAGATCGAAACCGTTTAAAACGCCCAGGAATTCGTTCACCACCAACGGGCGAGTCCACAGTAACCTACAAAAGCGTCGAAACCACGACGCGCGAAGGTCTGATGGATACTGCTGCTTGATTGCTAAATAAGCTGTGGCGATGATCGTCAAAACAATGACGGGCATGGAATACAACACGAACATACCCAGAATGTCGCCGATTCTAGCGCCGACAAAGGTCGTGAACTGATACCCCCGGATTGTAGATGTGTAACACCACATAGTGACGTCGAAAACAATAACAACAATTGCAGTGATTATGAGTCCAATCTCCATAGTTTCCGCCACTAGCTTCCCCATCTTTGCTATAACGAATGCAAATCCTAATTATTCAGTGTACAGTACTCTAATCACTAGTTATTGCTCCCGAAACATTTGAGACCCCCTTGATGGAATAAGGTTTAGATTTGTGGTTTTATGTATAGACGATGTCAAGTTTATGTTGTAAGGATAACTTGAGAAAATAAGAACAGAAGACTGTAGTTGGAGGTCTAATTAACTTTAATTAACTCTAGTTTAATTTACTTTGGAACTATAAAAGCACAAATTGAATTTCTGATGGAGGTCCCCATGCAATAGATAAGAACCACGGGGATGGATGGATGGAAGTATTAATGTATGTATTAATGTATGGATGATGAAGTTTATGTCGGATTTCACGGCGACACAACAGAACCTGTCCGCGACCGATTCCAAATTGGAATTGTCCTCCAGTACGAACTCGGGATGATTTTCATTCGTCGGCGAATGTTCCTCTCGCAGTGTTTCCAAACGAATTCTGACAATGCGGGGGTAGGAGCGGGTAACCTATTACCGAGAGTATAAAGAACGGAGGTCGACGACGAGCCCGAGTCATTAGCTTGCGAAGGCTCTGTTGTAATTCATTTGCTTTGTTGTAAGGCATATTTTCGGCGTTGTTCGCAGCGGTAAACCTCGCGGTGTGTGTAATCGTTAAATCGACCATTGTATCTTGAGCCTCCGATCGCTGTTGTGCAGTCCTGGGGGCGATGGACGAGCGTAGTTTGATGGGGGCACCACGCGCGAGTAGCACTGTGGCTGTGCAGGCCACCAACGACGATGCCACGGCCAGTAAATTGTGGGTTTCATGATCCCTATTTAGGGTTCCCCCCCTTTTGCTACTTTGTTTTTTAATTCTGTCTTTCACTTGATTCTTCTGATTTTATTCTAGCTCGTAATTTAATTTTCCTCAATTGTGTCGTTGGCATGATTTTGAGATTTGAGGATGGGTTTGTTATTTATTTCTGCTTTTTCCGGTTGTTTTGCGTGAGTGTTGGTATAGAAAATTAATTCTGAAGTAGTTCAGTGTATGTGATTGAGATGGGCGTATCCATGGGTGTATTGAATCGGCCGAATGGTTCAATTCTTTTCATCAGCAGTTTATATGATTTCTTTTGTCATGGCAACTCACATTCTCGTGATGTTAGTTGAGTCTGACTTTACTGTACTTGCAGTGACAACACGTACTGTGGTCTTTAGAGAATTTGTGGTTTTATACGTACTGTCTCTACCCTTAAGGTTTACATGTAGAATGCGGCAATGCGTCCATCGTGATCCGCGTCATCTAACAAATCTTTGAAATCCGTGCAATTGTGGTTGGTGTAGGTCATGCGTGACTAAGGGTTACATACATGACGATTTTGTCCATATGTTTGTGAGGCGGTCTATCAAGCGAGCCCCTTTAATCAACCGTGGTATGTATCTACATTTGACCTGTATGTTGCCACTTGCACATTTGGTTCTATACATGTAGACTTCTGGAACGCCTTCAATGGTAATCCTATATGCTGTGATAAGCCCTACTTATGGTGTTATTCCGTCTGCATTTTGTCAAAGGTTGTGCTGCTGAATATTCTGTTAAGAAGACAGAAACTATAATTTTATTGTTCCCTGATTTTTTCATAATTATAACTTAAATTTGGGAATGAGGGTTTCAGAATTTGAGTGTTTCTGTCGCTTCTGTACAGGATACTGAAATAGTTGATATTGTGGACAAGGTTATTACGCTCGATGGGCCACTATGCGAATGCTATTAAAGCAATTCTTGGATTCCGGCATTCCAAATGGTAGTGGATTACCTCAAAAGAAACAGATTCTTTCTCTTGGTGCAGGCTTTGATACCACTTTCTTTCAGCTAGTGGTAATGCTCATGTTCATCAATGTTCTCATTTCAATAGGTTTCAAGGTGTAATCGAAGGTTTGAGTGGCTCAAATGAGTTACATTTGTAATTGAGCCAATCGAACCATGTGGTTCTTACAAGCTCACTTGTTTTTATTATTATTCAGCAGCCCTACGAAATGATCTCATTACTTTAGTCAAGTAAAAGAACGAATTAGTGACAGATTGCACGGTGCGTGTTCAGGTGGAAGAGCAATCTGTACACAAGTTCGTGGAGGTGGACTTCGCAGAGGTACTTTTGTTCCATGTATTACTTTTAGGTGTCATTGATTTACCATTTTGTGTAAGTGTTGTCATTGAGGCTGGGTTATGTCAATGGTGTGGTATTTTCAGGTGACAAAGAAGAAAACAATGTTGATAGCTACTAAAGAGGTTTTAGTTTCTAAACTGGGACCTACAAAGCCTGAAATTGATCCAGGTATTTACTCATTTGTGCTAATTTATCTCTGTGTTTATAATGCGTGCACAATTTACATACATGATCATTCTTATGCGTTTGTTATTTTCATGCACTTGCATTGTACTACGTCCAGAACATGATTGTGAATCGACTCTTTTACATGCAGGTAAAGGGGAGATCGTTAGCGAACATTACAGCCTCTTACCTTGTGACTTGAGGGATTTGAAAACTTTGGACGACGCTTTTACCAAAGCACAGCTGGATGCCAAGTGAGAACTTGCTTGGGTATTTCTAAGATTCTTGATATCTGATCCGCTGCTAAGCATGAACTTTTCATTTCCTTTTCTATTCTTATAATAGCTAGATCTTGCTCATGAACCTACCTTATAACCTTTCTTCTATTCCACCTCTGCACTGTTCGCTGGGTTTTCGTTGGACTTTCGCGGGATGTGAGATACAGGCGTATGTGTCAGCCATCTTTCTCGGATACATATTTGAGTTTCAAGGTGTTATTGTTGTCGTGCTGTTCAGTACCTGCGTAATAACCTTTATCCACGGTCAATCGTCGAATATTTTAATCATTTCGAGAGTGATGTGTAGGTTGCCGACGTTGATACTCGCGGAGTGTGTACTCATCTACCTTGAACCAACTGTTAGCCGTCAAGTCGTAAAATGGTGTGCGGAAAAGTTTGAAACAGCAGCATTTGTTACTTATGAGCAGGTTGTGCTCGCTCCGGTTCTCTTTTTGTAGAATTTTATGGAGCATTTGCACTGCAATAGAAGCTTAAAAGCGATAGGTCCTCCTTACCTCACATCTTTGTTGGTTGTTCAATTATAATATGATACCACTCCTCTAGTTCACATATAGCATTGTATGCCAATTGATAATTGATATTTAAGCGCCAGTTTTATAGCAGTAGGTTTTCGAGTGGATTTCATTGTTGCAGATCTAGCCATAGCAGTTTTCAGGGATTATCCAATTCATTGCTAGAGTAACTTCACATGTGGTGAATGATTAGTGGTCACGTGCCCTCGTCATTTGACATAGGATTTTCTGTTTCTGAAAGATTCAGGTAACGTGGGTGTGCAGATACACCCAGATGATGCTTTTGGTCAGCAGATGTTAAGAAACTTGGAGGTATCATTATGATCTGTTCTTTGTAAACATCTTGCATCAGTGTCATGTTACTCTTTTACTTGCGCTTGGGAAGATCCTACTCCTATTAGATATTAATAAGGTTATTCTAATTTTGCTAGTTTTGATTTACAATGTGGTTTGTGTTGGCCTTGCAGAGCCGGGGCTGCCCTCTATTAGGACTTCATGATACTCCAACGCTAGAGTCAAAGGAGAGAAGGTTCACCGACCTTGGATGGCAGGTTGGTCTTTTAAGCTTCCCAAGTCATTCAGTAGCGTATATCATATCAAGAGCGTTGAATCGTACAAGTACTGTATGGGACCTGCAGGAGCTCAGTATGTTGGGGTTCAAGAACTCTTCTGGGTATATCCACATCTGCGTATAAGCATGTTCTTGTTGAAAAGCTGAATTCGCTCGTCCCTATCATATAGCTAATGGTCATAACTTTTGTCGAAGCTGTAGAGAGCACTTGCTATGGATATGGATGCCATATACCATCAGCAATTGGACCCCATCGATCGAGGAAGGTATGATGCTCCTCTGCTTTTTTCACCCAAATCCTTGTTCTGATACATAAGCTGTTCAACTACAGGTTCTTTTCTAATTGCTGTCATAATATTCTGATTAGTGACATGAATATCTGAATTTTAGACTGGCAGATGAGAACTATTCTTCTAGATCCTTCACACTGATTGTTTTATAATCGTGGTTGGGTGTCGGGAAAACACACAGGATTGAGCGCCTTGAGATCTTTGATGAATTTGAGGAATGGAACATTATGCAGGTAATTCATGTTTATTTCGTGTTCATGTTTTGGTGTCCCTTCACTAGATCTTTATCGTAATACCATTTCTTGAGAAGATTGGAGGTTGTGCCTTTTTTAGAGCTGTTCACGTCCAATGACAGATACCAGCTGAAATGCAGTACAGGTGTGCAAGCTTTTCGAATTCTTCTAAAGTTGTGAAGTAATTAAGACTTTTTGTGAACAGTATCATGTTGGTTCATAGCTCTCTCGTTTTTCTTCTTTTGGTTTGCTTTCGTTTTTGGTTTTTGTTTTGTAGAATGATTTCACTGTAGCGGTTTATCATAGCACCGGGGTTGCTCATCTGTGGACTGAGGGGTGTATGGACATGTTTGTGAAATATTTGTTGCAGGCACACTATTGTGTTGCTTACGGAGTTAAAGATGATACTGTGAGTATCGTTTTACCTTCTTCGCCCAAATGAACGTTTTTATACCACTTTTTTATCGCCGATCTTTTTGATAGCTCAAGACTATTCACTGTTCGTTTTGATCAGAATGGCAGACTTCAAGTTAGATGTGTATTTTTTTTCAAGTATAACATCTGGCTAAATACTGTGATGTCATCTCTGGCTTCAGGGTGTTTTTGAAAATTTTGGGTTCAGCGACAGAAAAGGCGCCAATATAGAAAAACCTGCCATACCTCCTATGATGTAAATATTGTAGCTCGATCGTGGATGCAAGCATTGAGGGACGGCGTGCTTTGGTTGCCACTTGACCAGCTGACGCACGTAATGTAACCAGCAGAGAAAGAGGACAGTTTTTTTCCAACACTTGGCACCAAACTGCCTGTATTTCGGCTTGTGCAGTGAAGTTGTTCATACATAAGACCATGATATAATGATGCATCATTATTATTATTATTATTTCAGTGTAACGAAAGTCTCCAAATTAGAAGTTTCTTCAAAACTTTCGCTTTCGAATTTTTTGCTTCACCTCCAATGTTTCATCCTCACATATGCAATCAGGTTTAGTGTGAATCATTTGTTGTTACACAAGATTCGGCTTCTCTTACAACTATGGTTGCCTCCACCTCGAGATTACTGCCAGCCTTTTAGGTCTAGCTCAGCACTGTTAGTTCTATGAAAAAAAAAAAAAAAAAAAAGGAGCCATGTCCGCATTGGTGCATCCTTCGCTTAGTAGAATCCCAGAGCCCCAACTAGTTTGCGAGGGGTTCCAAATGGAATATTCATCTACTCTTAAATGCCATGCGCTTGTGGCATGTTGGATTTTTACTCACTTTTGTTGACTTACTTTTTCTGCACTTTTTTATATACATTCTTAGATTTTGTAGCTATCGGTACAGGATAGAATTGTTGATTAGTATGATATTTTGATCAGTATGAAGTATTTCACTGCAAAAACGCTTTTTTAAAAGAAAAGTTCTTCACTGACTATTCCATTTGTTTTTTTACTTACATTTCACTCACCTTCATACTTCTTTAAATTCATCATCAGTGAAACTTGTGACAGAGCAGAGAAAGTGTTTTGCTAATGTAGCACCGAGTTCACAAGCGGATGGCCAGACTCTCAACGTTGTGTAAAACGAAGCACTGCGGCTGTTTCGGCAACAATGTGGGTGTTTCCGGAAGCATCTCCCCCCGTGAAGTGGTACTCTCAGCAAATTGACTCGCAGTATTGCTTTGGGGAGGATTTTCCCCTGCAGGATTTGCGGACGGGAGATTTACAGGATGTCGCACCGCCGTCAATCCCTGCACAGGATTTGCTCATGGAAGACTTGCTTCATGAAGCACCCTCAGGTACCGACTTGGAACTGTTAGTCGCTCGTTTTCTATCACATCCTTGGTCTTTCATCGATTGCTCGAATTCTTCCATTCTTGATCCTTCTTCATAGCACCCCTCTCACGTTCCTCAATAACGCGCTTGTGGCCCGCATCCGTCACACCCAAGTTGTGGAGCTCCTCCTCCAAAATCAAGGCCTTTCTCTCTAGTTCCTCGATTCGGGATTCTTGTTGACTGATCTTGGTCTTATAAGCCTCAATCCTGGTCACGTAACCTTCATCATTGTATCCAAGAGTCTTTGCCTCTTTTCTGGCTAGGTCTCGGTTCCTACGCAAGGTTCTCAGCTTGAAGCTCAATTCAGCGAAGCGATCAGTTTGCCTTTCCGGTATGTCATCCTTTTCGATCACCTCAGACGCCTTCTCAGAGAGTTTTTCGCGACCGCTCTCAATCTTCATGATCTCCTCTTCAAGTCTAGGTGAAAGAGAGTCGGCTTCAGAGGCTTTGTTTCTGACGGACTCCAATTCTTCTCCCAGTTCCCTTTGCTGTTTGGTCTTACCCTTTGATTTCTCAATCATCTCCTCTACTTTGGCAGACAGCTTGTGAGCCTCCTTAGCCTTTTTTCTTTGTCTCTGCGAGTTCCATAGACAATCTCGTCTCATTTTCGTGCATGTCCTTATCCGTCCTAGTCGTTTCTTCCAGTCTTGTCGAGAGAGACTCAGCTTCACAAGCTCTGCTTCTAGCAGTTTCCTAATATTCCCTTAAGATTTTCTGCTCCTCCGTCTTGCCCTGCAATTTCTTGTTTTGATCTTCGAGCGTGCGAGAAAAGTCTCGAGCTTCAACAGCATTGGTGCGTTCAAAGACTTTTGTGAGTTTCTTCACAGAATTATTCTTCAACTTCATCTGCTTCTCCTCCTTGCTTAATCTCTCGGATACGTCATCAGCTTCTGCGGCTCTGACCTTGTAGATATTGAAAACTTTCAGGAGGCCCACTTGAGAACATGTCAGTTTCCCCACCTTCTTCATCTCCTCCTCAAGCCCAGTGGATAGTTTGCGAGCCTCTGAAGCTTCTTGCCTGGCTTCGGCAATTTCCTTGGACAATCTATCCTCAGACTTGTGCATCTCTTCTACCTTCTTCATCTCCTCCTGTAGTCTGGCGGAGAGAAAATTGGCTTCAGTGGCTCTACTTCTTGCAAACTCCAATTCATCTCTCATGCTCCTCTGCTCTTCAGTCTTGTCCTCCGATTCTTTGATCCTTTGATTGTTCTCCTTCACCAGGCTTGTCAGCTTTCTGGTGGCAGCATAATGTTTTTCTTCGGCCTTATTTTTGGCATCATCGACGTCCTTTTTATCGTGAGCAATAGCATTGGCAGCTTCTTCCGCGGCTTTTAGAATCCTTTCAAGCTCTGCGATGCGGTCTTCCAACTCGCGCTCATGGCTTGTCTTGGCATTAAGTCTCTTTCTGAGCCTCTCATTTTCCATTTTAAGTGAAGTGGATCCGTCCTGCTCGTATGACAGCTGATCCTCGAGGTCACGAACGCGTGAGGACGACACGGCCAACTCTTTGTTGTATTTGACTAGGAATGCTTCAATCTGCTCCTTAACGATACCAACCTCTGAGAGCTCGGATTCCATGTCCTTGACCTTCTTCGACAGCTCTAATGACCTACGGTCAAGCTCTGCAGCTCTCTCTTCGTTGATACTGGCCTGTGATTTGTATTTCTCCGCCTGTGTAAAGACATGCTGGGTGATGAGTACATGCAATGTATTGGAATACATTTAAATCTTGAATGAACATATAAAGAAACACGCCACGAACAGAAACTATGGATCTGAAGACCAATGGAACCAATTGTTTGGAGCGGAATTCCAACACAGAACATCGAAACATTGAAATTGTCAAATGAAACACTGAAGCATACTCTGTCTGAAAGAATTTTGATCGTATCTTGATTTTCTTCAATAATAGTGTGTCCACTTATTGCCGACTTCGCTTCGGATTGCTGGGCTCGATAAGTTGTGAGTTCTCTCTCCAGCTCAGCGGCCCGAAACTTTTCACGCTGGAGCTCTACTTCAGCCTGGTAGAGACGACCATCCAACTCCACAACTTTGGCCTTAGCGCCGCGGGCTACTTTGTTAGCCTTATCAGTCTCATCGTTGGCCATACCAAGCGCATGCTCGCAATCCTCGAGAGTCTTTGACATGCCCAATAGCCTGTCCACCTCAGATTCCAAGCAGGCGATTCTCTGCCCATGATACGAAAGCAGCAGGCATCACCCGCGGACACACAATATGGCAACCCAGTCTGCAAATCAGTAAGTGCCTTTAGTAATGTTTTTAGAGAGATTTAGTTGTTCCTCGTAATACAATATATTTGCCTATCCTCTCAATTAAGGCAGGTTAGGATGATGACCGTTGCTTACCTCTCTTGCCTTCCACCCGACTTCTAAAGGCACGACAACCTGGGCAGCCATGACAGACGCATTCTTAGGAGCTATGCCCTTGTCGTGAGTTCCCTTCGCTACAATCTCACGCCTTGCTAAGTTCAACACATGCTCCTGCCCGGCAGCCTCCATGGTGACAAATCTCGGTGTGTAATACACCCTAACACAATTCAACTTTCAATGCAACAGTTGAGTACTCTCTAGATAGTCATGAACATGATTCGACGCAGATCAACCTCAAGTCAACACCGAAAAAACTCAGCTCACAAAACTCAACTATAGCAGTTTTCTAAATCCAGCTGGTAGGCATGAATCTAGACTTTCTAGACTATAGCCCATTGCAAATGTGCATACCATTCTCAACCCTGGCCATTAGAAACTCCTTTGATCGGAAAAAAATTAACTACTAGACAAGGGGGATGATGATGATGCAGTGATCACCATGAACGTGTTGGGCGTGTGCAGAGAGAAACATGGTGAGCTTGCCAAGTCCCCTGCCACTTGGGTTTGCATTGAACAAACAAAAGTTTTCTTTTTTTGTGGCGGATTGTCATTGCCCAGTAATGGCAAAAGCTCCAGCTTGGGATTTTGATTTTCTGGTGTTTTTCGGGGACCATAGCTTGCTCAGACATTGGCAATAATGTGTTTGGAGACTGAGTGATAGCAAATTAATAGGGTCATGTAATGACCATAAGAGTTGAATACGAGAGGTTACAATGATCAGCATAGGCTATTACTATTGAGAAAGGGATGTGTCATTTCACTTTAGAAGAATATTTGACTTGTTTTTGCTTTTATGTTAGATACTTATTGTTATTTTAACTTGTGCTTCAAGAAGGTGGTGTAAAATTGAGATTGAATATAGAAGTTGACTACTTGGAGGTTGTATCAATAAGGTATTAAGAGAATTTATTTTATTCAGTTATCTATGATGTATGTATTTATGACTATTTTCAAACATGTCCAATTTATGTACTATCAATAAAAATGTGTACAATTTTGGAGTATTCAAATCAAAATGAATCTTAATAAAATATTGTTATTGGAATTTGTCAATGGATCATTAAAAATTCTAGCATAAGTAATGATATTGTTTGTATTTTATGAAAAATAAATAATTAAAAATTAGAACCAAATTATTTAATAAATCTTGAGAAATAGACATTGTAATAAATGTATATTATTTCAAAGTCTAAAACTACTTTTTAAGAGCTAAAAAATTAATTTTAAATTTTAAAAATTATTTAATTTTTTTGGCATAATTATCTTTAAAACAGTTTACTGATATGGAAATCAGGTTTCTCAGATAAATTTTTATTTTAAAAGTATGACGATTTGTGCTTAAAGAAGCTACCATAGAAACTCCATCTAACTCACTCACAACAAGGCATGATACTATTCTTAGTTTTTCCTTATAAATAAATTTTATTAATAATTACCTCTGTATTTTTTAATGTTAAGTTTTCACTGTTTTAATAGATAAAGTACGATATTTAATGTTAAGTTTTCACTGTTTTAGTATAAAAAACTTTACAAAATTTATGGTATTAAATAAAAATTATCCTACATATAAGAATAAAGATAAAAAAAATTAAGTATGATAAAAAATTAATTATTTTAAAATATTAGATAATAAAAATTAAAATAATAATTATTGTTAAAAACTTGCATGTCACACTAAACAAATGCACAAAAGTCTTTGAATCTTAGTCTTCTATTGACTTATATAAATAAAAATAATTATTATCAAACATATGCATTTAGTTAATATTTTTATACTAGTTCATTTGAATCAAACTCTTATAAAGTTATATAAACTACCATTGTTTTAGTCAATCTTAAGAACACATTTAAGCTTACCAAACTTAAAAATATATATCCAAAATTAATTATAAAAACAAAATAAAATTAGTATTGTAGTATTCTACTTTTAAAAAAAATATTAATAGATAATGACAAAACATAAAACATACAAACATTTAAAAATACTATATTTTATTTCTATACCTATGTAAACAAAGATAATATGCAATAATATATTTTAACTAGGTAATAAAATATTTAAATCATTAAATAAATTAATTATTTCAAACAAATTTATGATTTTTTAAGACTAAAAATTGAAATATTATTCTATTATTCTTTAGTGGTCTTCTTATAGTTAAAGCAATAAAAATCATAAATCAAAACATAACAATCTTAATATTAACAAAAGATTCAATCATATTATTATTAGTGACACTAAAATAATTAATAGACAGGTTTTTTTACTATTGAATGCATTTTTTTGTAAATATTAGACTATACTTAGAATTACTTAGTTAATATTATTGAATTTAGGGACATTTCAATCCCTAAAGCTCCGTAAAAGCCAAAAAAATGTTTGGTTGTTAAAGGCATTCTACATGAAGTATCTAACTTTGGAATTTTTATCAAAAAAATTAATTATAAGTAGAGAATATTATTAAATTTGTGCCTGGAAAAAATAAATAAATAAACTTGTTATTTAAAAAAAGAAAATGTATGATGTTTAGTAGATTTGGACCCCAATTGGGACAATTTGGATAGGGATATATATCAATCTAATAACAGCTATAATTATGAGTAATTTTGGAGATTGTATGGTCCACAGCAATTGATCCAATATTCATCCAATACAAAGTTGCCTAGTGCATTTTAGAGCTTATGGTCATGTAAAACCTTCTAAAATCCATATCAATTTAGTTTTTAACATTTTTTTTTTCTTTTAAATTTTTGTTTGTTTGTTTGTTTTTGCTTAATTTTTTTTTTTTTTCCTTCTTCCTCTAAAAGATATAAAGGTACTTCTACCCACCATTTTTTCTTTTAATAAAGTTTTTTATAAAAAAATTATATGATTTTTTGAAAAAAAATCCTTGTTACTAGTTTTTTAAATACCTAATTCTTGAAAAAACAATTAGTTGAAGGTGATACACATATCTCCTTGCTCTAAGATTTTATATACATGTGCTCAATTTGAGGATATTTTTTAAAAAATAGTTCTCCTAAAAACTTTAGAGTCCTAAGTGGGAATTGTGCTTAGCACATGTCTCTTTATGTCTTTCAAACATCAAAAAAACTTTTTTCTTTCTACTTTGAATATTATGATTTCTCACATGCAATGACTTGAATGTCTAAGATATAGTAGACTAACCCTAATATGAGCTAGAAATAAGATATTCCAATTGAAAGTGTTAAAAATACCAAAATAAAGATTTAAATGTCTAATAATCTAAAAATACCTATGTGTTTAAAAACTAATGTTGGAACTAATTATAATAGTACAATATTTGGATGCATATTAAATGCTATGATTGCAAGATAAACTTAGATATGAGTTGTTATATACATTTTTTCTATTAAAATTTAATATTGTATTAGTTAAGTTTTATTTTTTATTTTTTTAAGATTATTTTTTAATTAAATAAATTTATCTAGATTCAATATCTTGTTTAGATTCTCATTCAAATTTCTAATAATTTTTTTAAAGTTTCAGATATATATATATATATATATATATATATATATATATATATATATATAAAATAGATATTCTAAAAATAAAAAATTCATTTATGTGTTTTTGTATATAATATAGGCTTTAATGTACTTGAAGTGTAGTGTTATAACTTTACTAAAAAATCAAAATAGTACAAAAAAAATTAAATTAAATTAAATTAGGCCATTAAGGAAAACATCAGTGATAAAAAATAATCAAATGTCTTGTTTATCAAAGAATCATATGTTTGTTTGTATGAAATCCATTAAAAGACTCTAAATGTGTAATTTTCTTCTTAGTTTATCTTGAAAATGAAAAAAATAGTTGGTTGTACATATTGCATAGCCATTACTTATAGATGAATGCAAATTGAAGGAAGCTGTTTTGATTTTCTTGTAGTGTATTGTCTAATAAGAGATTTTTTGAAACATTTGTTGACCTTGTTCTGACTTTCATTGTGGTGTATTACTTCATTTTTGTTTTTAAAATATTATCTCACAGAATAGAATTCAAAATTGTTAGAACCCATTTGGTGGTACAAACTTTTATGTATAAACACTTGTTTTGAAGATTGGATTTAGAAGGGGAAAAAAAAAACAAACAAACAAGTACAATTACTAAATTACAACAATCAACCATTTTAATCAATTTGTGGACATGGTTTTCCACTTCCTGCATCCAACTGGTGAATGCAAAAACCGAGTTGGTGGCATGTCATTGTGGATCTGATCATTGGAAAGAGAAATAAGCAGTAGAGTGTCCGGAGCGGAACCAAGACGTTAAGAACCCACAACATCTCCATCCACGAGCTTGATGATCTCGATTCCAGGCGCGTTCGTCGTCTGGATATCTGCACCCAGGTCCGAATATCTACTCTTTCTGGCAATCTGGGCACGCGAGGTCATGATTCGGACTTGCATCAATGCTCAAGTGATTTATTGATTCCTGGAAGCGTTTGTAACAAGGACGGGCTTACCCAATTGTGCCATCTGGGCTGCTGTCGCAGTCATTATGCTCAAAATCCCACGAATCTTTGATCAAGAAAGCCAAGCACTGCGAAATTGAATTTCTGTTGTTGCATACTGAGAGCCGGCTGCTGAACTTCTTGGCACAGACATGGGCTTGGAAGAATTCACATGGCACTGTGCGTCCCAGACTTCCATTGCCATAAATCTAGGTGCCTGGGAGCGTCCGAAGGAGCGTGAGAGGGGAACCCTTGATATGGTTTTGGATTGAGGTAAATGTAGAATACACAGAGCATTGAGGATTAGTAGCTAAAAACAAAACCAGATAGTACCTTGTAAGTTGAATTGTTTTTTTTATGGTTTTTTTGTCTTTGGTATTTTTGGTTTTGTTGCCGCAGGGTTTGTATGATCTTTGAGATCCTCTAGAGAATTTGCTTGAGTTTCCGTCTCCTGATATGTGAGAATGATGTGCTACAACTTTTCTTCGCAGCAAGAGGGCTGATAATACGTCCTTGAGGACATGTATGTGGGTGAACGACAGTTTGGTTTGGGGTGTACAAAGGAGAGGAATTTGTTTGGTTGAGTTTGAAAGTAGATCCTGTTCTTAAAAGAAATGCTACTCTCGAAGCGTCCTAGGAGATGCAACAAATCTACTTTCAGGATGGGTTTTCGAGAGGGTGTAACCTTCATGAATTCATTGATGCTTTTAAGCATGTGCATCATGATGCTGGCGGCAATGGTTGTGGCCGGACCTCATGCCAAGTCACCAGCAGTTTACGTGGTGCGTGTGAAGGGCTCTCCCTTGTCTACTTTCAGAGGTTCTCCGGATTTGCAATTCACCTCCACTGCGCACCCTGTACAGGGTACCAACAGACCCGACTTCTCAAGGTCTGCTTTCATTTCGCCCGTCAATTGTGAAACACCGAACTCCAAATTTTTTGTGTAGTCATTCTAATGTAAAGTATCAGTACTGTTGAACAACTTTTCACATGCCTCCGTTGCAGCGTGCGGAATCTTCCGTCGCAGCTTGCCATGTTCACAGTAGAAAATGACTCCATCCCTTTTCTTGTGCATGATGAAGTGAAGCAGCTCACGCCTATGCAAACCATTTGAGCGGTCGCCACGATATGGTGCTGGAGGAATCATTGAAAAGTGGGAGTTTCCAGAAGATTTACAGCTACACAACGGTCCTCAACGCCTTCACTGTGAAGCTTACAGACCATGAGCAGGTCTCATCCATCATCTTTGCAAATATATTCTTTTAAGAATTTCATGTCACCATATCAACCAGCTAAATATTCTTCCATGGGATAATGGAACAGAGTTCTGCCATGCCCTTGAAGATAGAGCATTCTGTGTAAAATGGACCTAATGAACTTAGGCACCTTACGTCATCCTTCGATCCATGCAGGCCAAATTACTCGAATCTCATCCTCATGTGGTGTCTGTGGAGCGAGATCAACTACTACAGAAATCAACTACACATACACCTCAATTTCTGAACCTCCCCAAGGGTGCTTGGCCTGTGTTGAATGGACCCGAGAACGCAGGGGAAGGTATGGTGATTGGCATGCTTGACACGGGGATTGATCCTGCACATGTGAGCTTTAGAGACAAAAAGCTTTGGTCAAAGCCATATGGTCACTTAAACAAGTGGAAAGGAGGTTGTGAAGTTGTCGAAGAAAACTTTCCAGCCGGTTCGTGCAATGGAAAAGTCATCGGAGCTAAGTACTTCGCCAGGGGAATCATGGCTGCGGATATGTTTAATGAAACCTATGACTTCGCGTCACCCTTCGATGGAGACGGGCACGGCACGTCAGTTTCACATATCTCTTAGCCATATGAAAATTTGTAAATTAGCTCTTGAAGAAAAGCCTTACATCTCTACAAGATAACCAAAGATTCTAGATATGTCAAAGAAGTTGATCTAGTTGAAGCAGGTTAATTTAAATGTAGGTAACCGAAACAAACATATTCCAGCACATCAAGCCAAATTCGTTATTCTCTGCGCAATGTAAATAACCATGAGTATCTTGCAGACATACAAGCTCAATAGCGGCTGGTAGCAGCGGAGTTCCTGTTGTGGTGAAAGGTTATAACTACGGTACAGCCAGTGGAATTGCTCCACGTGCTAGGTAAATCAAGAGTTTCGATGGCAGTGTGTTTAGTTAGTTAAAAGGAATCTCAAATTTAAAATGAACAATTTTCACGTTCAAGGTGGTCCATCATGGTGCAGGATTGCGGTATACAAAGTAATATACCGAGATGGCGGATTTCTGTCTGATGTGCTGGCTGGCTTGGATCAGGTCCTGACTAAGCCTTGTTAACTCACATTTCCTATTGTGATGTTCTGCTTTGTAACTTGCTACACTTGGATGCTGAAAAAAACACACAAGTCCCATGAGATTTTGCCTCGTTACATTATGAGGTTCGTATACCGGAAGCTTACCATGTAGGCATCGGATTCGTGTGCAGGCTACTCATGATGGTGTAGATGTTGTGAGTATATCACTGGGCTCCACCAATAGCGCCTCGGGTGTACCCTGTCTGAATAGCTTCGATGTGGCTCTTCTCTTTGCTGTCTCAACAGGCATCGTTGTAGTCCATGCAGCAGGAAATTCAGGACCATATCCGTCCACCATGAATTCTTATGGTCCATGGATTATCTCTGTGGGAGCCAGCATCAGTGACAGGACTTACGAGAATCACGTCATTACAAGGAATAATCATGATTATATCGGGACGGGATCTCCGGTAAAAGGGCAAGAAATTGAATCTGCTTTTCGAATGCGTATAATTTGACAGAGAGAAGAATGATTACCCGTATGAAACCTGAATAGAGAACAAGTAACAATCTACAAACTGCACACAAGTGCAGTGAATTTTAACCAGTCGGTTTCTTTGCAAACAAACATCTTTTTTTAGCATTTTGTGTTAAGATTTCAGTTGGGCGTCAGAAATGACAGTGTTAGTCACCAGAGCTTGATTACATTCGTGTTTCGATTTTGGAACACTACAATGGGGTTATGTGTGGAGTAAAACTAAATGCTGTTGCTCATTCCACCTCTCTCCCTGCAGCTGGAACTCGACCGCCTATCTGGTACCACCTTATTTATGCCGAAGATGCATTAAATAACGACACCGAAGACTTGGATGCTGAGTTTTACTCGTACTGCCAGAATCTAGCACCGTTCAACGCCACCCTTGTCCGAAACAAAGTTTTGATGTGCAACTTCGTGGAGTACTCTGGAAACAGCGCAGCAGCCGAGTTTGAGAATGCAGTCAAAGTAGCAACGAGCTTGAATGCTGCAGGACTCATCATGCTCAACAAAGCTTCGTCATTGAGTATGAAGCTACAGCGAGTTTCTATGGACCCAGTTCCTTATTCCCTCCCGACTGCCTTTATACCAGACTCCGATGGTGCATCCGTAAGTTTCCACACTAAGCTCTGAGCCACTTCCTAGAACCTCTTTTCTTGCTCCGATTAGGGACATAAGTTGCAATTCAGGTTCTTAATGCTTTTGTAACTGCAACGTGATCCCCTAGAATACATAGAGATCACGAGCAGGACTCTTAGAACTTGACATTCTACCGCCTAGGGGTTAGGCGAAATACTCCATTCATATACCATAGCGCATTCTTTGATGACATTTGGTAAGGTCTTTTTAACCAGATAGATCTCAACACATAGATAACAGATAAACAGAGACAGTAATTCAGGACAAAACCTGAATGTAATCATCAATGAATCAAGTTCTGCTTTGCTTAATACGAAGAAGTGAGTTCTAAATAATGATTTCACTTGAAATTGCAGGAACTCCTGAACTTCTACAACACTAGAACGAAGCGAGATTCCCAGGGAAACATTGTTCGGTTTAAAGCCCGAGTGAAGATGAATGATTCAAGACAAGCTTTGTTCAAGCTTGAAGCACCACGTGTTACTTCATTTTCTTCGAGAGGACCTGTCTATGCAAACACCATCACATCAGTTGTGGCAGACCTCCTGAAACCGGACTTGGTGGCACCTGGTAACGAAATTTGGGGCGCGTGGGCTCAAAATGGTATAGATGTCACGGGCTTTGTTGGTAAGTCCTCCCTTCATTCCATAACCTCTGAGTTGATTCACTAATTCATGTCTCGACATTCTCAGCAGAGGGAATTTGGACGTCAGTTAGATGAGATAACAGTTCACTACCTTTACAACAGCTGAGTCTCCAACGGCACCTACAATGTTGCAAGTTTCTTCTGTTAATTTTGACCACCGTGGCCCGACCTTTACTAGCTCCGCCATGTCAGGAGATGCCTCAAAGGAACAAATTATTGGAACTTGAAAAACACTGAGGTAAGGTTATCTTAACTCAACTGCCAATCTGATGAGAGCTGTTGACACAATCCTTTTATAGGGGAAAGCTTTGCGATGATATCTGGGACGAGTATGGCAACGCCACACATAGCCGGTGTCGTCGCTCTCGTCAAACAGAAGCACCCGACATGGAGCACATCCGCTATTCACTCTGCACTTCTAACGACTGCAAGCACCGTCGACAAATGGAACAAAACAATACTGGCGGAACAGCCATCGGCAAGCCCAACGACCACAGCTCTGGGACCCGCTTCCCCATTCGACGTAGGAAGCGGAGCTGTGAACGTCACCGCTTCCATGGACCCCGGGCTCGTATTCGAGACAGGTGAATCGCCTTCATGTGTTTTAATTTAAACAATGATGACAATTCATCATCTATCGCTTACACCGCACCTTGAGTCACCTGAAATTCAGACATAGATGTGACCTGACAACCCCTCCATATTTCGCAGACTTCCAGGACTACGTAAATTTTTTGTGCACGCTCCCCGGCGTGGATGCCAACACCGTCCAAGACTCCACCGGCGCCACATGCAACGTAGTGGCGGGAGCCCGCTCGTCCGACCTCAACGTTCCCTCCATCACTATCGCCAACCTCGTCGGCAAGAGAGAGGTGAAACGGACGGTGAAGAACGTCTTCGATGGAGCCGAGAAATACACCGTCGCCGTCACGGAGCCGACTGGGGTGGCTGTGAATGTGCACCCCACATCGTTCACTCTTCGCGCGTCTGAGTCCATCGCGGTCTCCGTGAGCCTGCAAGCCACGGGGACGAACGGCGCCTTCACATTTGGATCGCTAGTGTGGACCGGGGACAGAGGTCATTCCGTCAGAATTCCTGTGTCTGTGCTGGTCGGCGAGGTATTGTGAGTTAATTGCTTTAGCACGGCCTGCGACTATAGAATTCGAGCTCGATTTACCGATGCACAAGCTTCACTAATTCATGTGCATCCTCTCGGAGTCTCCGTGCCTCGACTTCTCGGTATGTGCCCCTGTATAATACCGGGGGGGAGGTTTGCTTCATCATGTGCCACGAACGATTTGACCGTGGTATCGCAAGGATTCTATGACCATGGTGTTGTTAGGACGATATGACCGTGAAGCGTAGCCTCACGTTTGATTTTGCTATTTTAATTCTTGTTGCAATTATGTAAATCCTCCGTTAAAGTGATAATTATGATATTTTTTAAATAATAAAAAAAATACTTGTACCCCTTGTAAATATTAATGATGACTTTACAATGTGGTTATGTGAAGCTTATGAACAACACTAAGATTATGCCACGGTGGTCAAAATTAACAGAAGAAACTTGCAACATTTATTTCTCGGTATTAAATGTTGCAACTATGAGCTCGAATTCTATAGTCGCAGGCCGTGCTAAAGCAATTAACTTCATATGACCATTACATAGAAGTTTAATCTGAGTTTAGTATTGAAGAGGAAACTCGTCTTTTACATTTTAACATGTGCCCATCTGAAAATTAAATTATTGAGAGTGAATTTTATTAACGGTGCATTAATTGAATTGTGTGTGTAGTGTATAGAACATTTCTTGCAACAATCATAATATATATGCATCTCATACAATTTGAAAATAAACACGTTTTATTGTAATATTAAAAACTATATATATACATATATACATATATATCCCAACAAACAAACCAATTCCCTACTTGTTCTATGTTGTGGTTGAAGTGAATGCTTAGTTATTTTTTTAACAGATATATTTTAATGCATGACCAATATACAGTGTTCTGTAAATTAAGAATGCTATTGCATTTAAAGACATCCACAAATATTTGGATTTTGAGTGAATGGTCTGATCTCTATTATTTGAATGAGTACTATGCACAGTTATTTTGAGTTTAAATCTTACTTTAAGTAACCCTTTAATGCCATTTGAAAAAAGCAATGCTGACACATTTATCAGTATTATTTGGTTACATGAATTTATAAAAAAACAATTAATAAGTTTTTGTCTACATTTTGCAGCTGTTTCTATATTTTGTATATCCAAGAACATATATATATATATATATATATACACGCACACATGAACACAAATAATTAGATATCAGAATCACTTGCTGATATACTTGTATGTAGCACAAAATGAGTTTACAAAAATCAATTTTCAAGGATAAAATGATAATGAAATGTAAAAATATAATCTAAAGAACAATGAACAGAATTTCTAATTAAGAAGCTTCACAACACGATGAACTAATCGGTGATAAAAATATATAAATAAATAAGTAATTTCTAATAGTTTAAGGTAGGAAAACCTAACTTTTAAAAGTTGTACGCTTGATTAGGTAGTAAACTTTTTGAATTAGAAAAATCAAGCAACCTTTAAAGGTTTCGTATCCTTAGAGACCCGCGAGGTTGGACGGTCATAGGGATAGGGCAACTATGAACGGATGACCTCATCTACGAACCCGAAACATCATTCATCCAAACCGTCGTGGAAACAGAGCTTCGAGCTATTCATCAACATTAGATTGTTTCACAAGCCTTCTGGAAGCGTTTGATTGTCGACGATTGATTGAGTGCGGATCAATTACGCGCTGTTGGAAGTTTTCGTGACCCTGTTTTATTCGTGTGCGATTTGTCTCACGTATCGCCGGCAAGATGGTGCTCGAGGTGAGTAATCGAATGAGCTTCTCGCCGCAATTTTTTATGGTTAGGGTTGAGGATCGTTGTTATTTTTGTGTGCCGAGCGAGTGTCGGATGGGTCGGTGTAACGGATTGATTTCCTTGGGTATCGAAGCACTAAGGACATGTGTGTTATTTTAGGAGAGGAGGATTGGGAATAAAGGATGATCTTGATTGTTTGAGTGCTTCTTTGATGGAGTCCGGTGGTCATCACTGCGATGATGCCGTGTAAGTGGAACATGGGACGTAGTGTATTAGGGTTATTTGTAGGTGCGAATTGGTTTCTTAGGATTCAGTGATAGTCTGCCGATCTTGAATTTCTGGTTTGTTTTTTTCGTTACTGAGTTGATTGAGGGAGCACTGTGCGTGCATTTTTGGTGGGTAGAGTTGGAAGCTGTTGAACGTTATATGGGTGTTTTACAGGCGACCATGGTCTGCATGGACAACTCAGAGTGGATGCGGAACGGCGATTATTCACCTACTAGGTTTCAAGCTCAAGCTGATGCTATAAACCTGATTTGCGGCGCTAAAACTCAGGTAACATTGCAGGATCCTCTGATAATGACAACAATGATCTAAAAGCTCAGCTACAAGGAAACATGATGGTAAACCTGGAACAATGTTAATGATAATTGATTCTTATGGAATTAGGGCTGTGTGACAACCCTGAGGTGTAACGTCATGTTCGTCAAGTCACATGGTTCAGTGAATCACTGACCTCCTCGTTAGCGCCTTGTACGTGCACTCGCAGCAGCAGTGCTGAGCAGTATGCTTTCTAGGTTATTTAGGATCCATACAAGAGTGTACGAATGTTTGGGACATTCTCTGAAGAAGTTTCATGGCTTTGGACATATCTTTTTGAATGTTGATTAATTTACGGTTTCTGCTTGTGCAGTCGAATCCAGAGAATACTGTCGGTGTTCTGACAATGGCAGGTAAAGGCCCACGAGTTCTTATCACTCCAACCAACGACTTGGGAAAGATCCTCCAAGCTCTTCATGGTATGCCATCTCTTGAATTGCATATGGCCTTACTTTTGGGTGCTCTATTGTCATTCTTTTTAGTACTTTTTTTTTCCAATCATTTGCAATGGACGTATGTGGACTGGGTGGAGTATCTGAAGAGGCTGGTGTACACTTCATTCTTTCTTGATATATGGTGTTTTACTAGGTTTGGAAGTTGGGGGCGAGATGCGTATGACATCGGGAGTTCAAGTTGCTCAGCTAGCGTTGAAGCATCGCCAGAACAAGCATCAGCGACAGAGAATTGTTCTTTTCGCGGGCAGGTAAGTCGGATATTTTGCAGACAATTCGTCTAAATTGAAGACTTGATTGTGGCACTCGGATTGTTGTGGCACCAGTGCTCTTTGTTTACATTTTGTCAGATCAGCAATATTTTTTGACTTTTAAATGAACTGTTGCATTGTTATCCGCAGTCCTGTTCTGGCAGATAAGGCGGTCCTGGAGGGAATGGGAAAGAAGTTGAAAAAGAACAACGTGGCTTTGGACATAGTGAGTTTCGGTGAAGATGATGGTGAGAAAGTTGAAAAGCTTGAAGCATTATTGAATGCAGTCAACAATGGTGATAATAGCCACATCGTACATATTCCAGGAGGAGAAAGAGTACTTTCTGACGTATTGATCAGGTAAAATTGGGTTTTCCACAGTTTACTCTCGACGGGTTGAGTTTGTAATTTACAGGTTTTAAGTTATTGGGGATCTATTCCAGTGTTTCAAGCAAGCTCGCGTTAAAAATTTGGCGAGTAACTTATGTTTTCCAACACGATGTAAATGTAGATGTCAAACCAACCATTTCGGAAGACCAATGATCTTACTTTGAATTCTGATGGTTTGTACTGGCCTCTTGGTAAATGATATGTTTTGGTATCACCAGTCTCTCTCTAATTTATGGTTACTCCACGCAGTTCTTCTATCTTTACTGGTGATGGAGAAGGTGGAAGTGGATTTGCTGCAGCTGCTGCCGCATCTGCTGCCGCGGCTGCCGTTGGTGGTGGAGGTGGTGCATATGACTTTGGTGTGGATCCAAATCTGGATCCCGAGCTTGCCCTTGCCTTGAGGGTTTCCATGGAGGAAGAACGAGCTCGTCAAGAAGCTGCCATGAAGCGATCCGCTGAAGACTCAACAGCCAAGGGGCAACAAGCTGGGGAGAGCTCCAGCGCTCCTGATGTGGCCATGTCAGATGTTGGTCTTGTAGATACTACGGACAAAAGTAAAGATATGATGATTGTAAGTGGTGGTTCCATCATGCAAAAAACAGAGTACTCTTTCCAATTGCAAAGCTGATCTTCTGCATGTCTGCACATGTTTATAGTTGAATAGTCGAAATTTTTGGTTCAACCAATCAATTAGCAGAATATCATACGAGGGTACATCTCCGCTAATATTACTCTTCTAATTGCAGGATGATGATACTGCTCTTTTACAACAAGCTATCGCTATGTCCATGGCTCAGGCTGCGCAGGCAGCAGCGGCTGCAGGTGGTGGGCCTGCTACTACTGATACTTCTATGGAAGAATCAGGCGGAGACGACCAAGACCTTGCATATGGTTGGTTGTTTCTGGGATTTTTTGAAATTTCTTTTTCTGTTATCTGCTCGTGTAGACTGCCTCTAAAATTATGTTTCTGTCAGTAACAATTCCGACAGTTAGGTTTTGTACTACGTTCATATCAGTTTCCGAGACCAGACTTCAGTAGTTCTAGTCATTAGTTCTACCTGCACTCTAGGTCTAAATTCCATAAAATTCCTGAGAAGAAGCAGTGGTACGTGTATGTATCGCCGCGTAGTCTATTCACAACTTCAAATCTTACTTGATTATTACAAGGTTGTTGTTTTTTGACAATAGGTAACTGACATCCTGATGGCTTGTTGAAATTCAGCTCTGCAGATGTCGATGCAACAAGCAGCTGCTGCAGCATCCGCAGCACAGGGGAGTGCCGATGTGAACCAGGTTCTGGGTGATCAGAGCTTTGTTTCTTCTGTGCTTTCATCGGTAAGAACCTTCCGTACATCCAGAAAGTACTAGTTCATAACTACACGATGATTGAAAGGGAGTCAGTTTGGTCATTGACGTATTTTGATGCAAGTAACAGATTATTTCCTGCTTCTTACATTTACATTGTTAGACATACAATATAAGTACCGACAGTGGGGAAGTACATAAGATGTCATTTATCATGTATATTTTGCCTCTTCATCAGTTCGTATTGTACTAGTTTTCTAGATGCTTCACTTGCCAATGATTTCTAATTGGATCCTGGTACATGTGCAATTGGTTGAAAATGACAGCTCCCTGGAGTAGATCCAAATGACCCAAATGTTCGGGATGTTTTAGCTTCTCTGCAGACAGACGAGGTAAATTGCCTACTCCTTACGTGAGATCGTTTTTGATATTGTGAATTTTTTTTACTGAGATTATGGGATACCTTTGGTTTCAACTACAAGCGACTTTTAAATACCGATGTTTTGGTAGCTCTATTTATGCGCATTTATTTGATTCTGTAGTTTTTACATGTCCTTTGGTGTGTGCCCACCTCGGTGTTCCATCTGAGCATCTCTTCTAACCATGGCTAAACATGATTGATTCAATAGGGGAAGAACGATGATCAAGCAACAAAGGATAAGAGCAAATGAGTATGGAATTAAAGTTGGAAGTTCTAGAGGACACAGGACCCTTTCTTAAGGGTTCGTCTTTTAGTTGCTCTTAATTAATGTCCAGATGGAAGCTCCCAATGCATGCTTCTCAGTTTGCCTCCTCAGCTAGGGTTCCTGAGTTGAGCTGCGTGTACTGCGAAGTGACTCTGTAAGTACAAAGACGAAATTGCTGAAGGCCCCCTGTTGCCAGGAAATCAATTAATTTTATGAAGATTTACTGAACAGATTTGTACCTGGATGTGGCAATGAAGGAATGTAGGAAATCTGGCTAGGAGGCAATTTGCTTCAGGATATCTAGGGCAAATCACCTCTAACGCGCTTTTGCTCAATCCCTTCTTGACTTTTTGAAATCCGTGCCAGTTGCGTCGTACTTCTGATTGAAATCTTCTCGCTCAATGTCGTCGATTTATGAACTATAAATCTTTTTATCACTTAAATGCTGCAGCTCAGTTACAATGAAGTCTTACTAAATCTTTTGGGTCCTTTTAATTGTCCTTATCAGCTCTTGTGATCCGGAGTGTAGGTGACAACTCTCGTATGATGGTAGTCCAGGCTTCTTATTTACATCCACATAATTTTCAGAGTTGAAAGTAGCCTAGAGTTCATTGGATTAATTTTTAGGGGGCTTTGGTTTGGTTTGTAGCGAAAAATAAAGGTTTTGAGGGAGCAAATGAAAGAGTTTGTACAGAAATGGTTGTACTATATAAAAAGTTCACAATATATCTTCGAAATATGTATTTTATGTTAAATGGTTTTAAGTGGACTATGTTGATAACATTAAAAAAAACTTATCTGACGAGAAATCAAATCCTACTGTTCAAGATTTCCATAATCAAATTTCTTGGTTAAAACACTGAAAGGATAGAGAATGGTCGCCAAAACAACATTGATAATCATATTTCTTTATCAGTTCAATTTACTTTTGTAAGTTTCGCAAATATTACGAACAATCTATTCAGTTTTGCTCTCAGGAAAGTTTGCAAACTATGCATACAAGAACTAGTTTAATGAACTTTCTTACGTTTTGCTTACAACTGAACTTTTTAGCTATTAAAAGTTACCATCACTGTTGCATTTTGGTTGATACATTTTAATGAAAATAAGACCAAACATGTTAATGGATAAAAGCAACTCACACGATATCTCAATCAAAACGACTAAAATGAACCGAAGTGTTTAATGTTTTGATAGAAAATTACCAAGAAAGTCATTGTTAACTGAATGTTACAAGGCTCTTCTTAATTTTATAAATTGCATGTGGATTTGTTTGTAATTATTGATTTGATACGAAACCCACTTCGATCCATGTTTATAATTGTGTGATTTGCCAAGTTTTGATATTCATATAAGAAATTATCTTATGTTGAAAGATTCTCTAATTTATTTTATTAGCACTCTAATTTAAATTAACATAAAGTAATTAGTATGTTTAAGATATTTGCTGATTGAAAGTATGTTGATTATGTAATAAACTGAAAATCAGAATGTAACTAAACCTGTAGAGTCAAATGGCCAGCACACAAACATTTCAAGAGATAGAATATTATGCTACAGTTGTTTGAACATTTAAAAGTATCTTTAAAACATATCAACTAACCGAATGGAATTATTATGCACTGCTACACATCCACAATTGAAAACAGTGTATGGATTCGCCAGTGAGAAATTAACTTTAACTTGGTAACCAGTAAAAAGCCTTTTTAATCAGGAAATTTAAAATTCTAAAATCTAAACCAAAACACATTAGCACATATATATATATATATATATATATATGATTAAAATTTTCACAACGTGTTCAAATTACAGTCTAATTTTAGCTTTTGAGTTAAGAAAAAAGAATACAAATTAGATATACACACATATACACGTGTATGTGTGTTTTTTGAAAGCCATCTGCAAAAATCAAAAGCAGTATTTGAGTGAATTCAAAAAACTACTGTGGGTTGACAAAGTAGAAGAAAAGGACAAGTAGAAAATGATCACAATCGTATCCAAATTCGTCAGTTTAAACAAAGAATGTTGACATTTTTAATTTTAGGTAAGCCACAGGAAAAACTTCTAGAAACAAAGAAAATTACATCTTGAGATTGAATTGTTTACAAAAAAAAATGACCTTCTAAACAAGAATTTTAAAGCTAAGGTTCTAATCCAACAATTTTCTTAAAGTGAATCAAGTATTTACGAAATCAACCCACCCATCCTAATCATCAAAAAAATCTCTACTACTTGATCTGCATTGATCAAAAACCAAGGAAAAAATGGTTGGATCCTCAACCAATGATGCTGGGTGGGTTTATTTAGTAATATATATATATATATATATATATATATTTCTAAAGGTCAAATATGTTACCACATGAAGTACCATTCTTATTTGTAAACCAAACAATATAGCATGCTTTGTATGTGTTCTTTAATTGTGAAACCTTAAAAAAAATAACTATAAAAAGTACCCTATTCCCTTGGCATTGATTACTTCTTTGATAGGTTGGTAGTCACTAAGCAAATTTATTCAAATTGATTTAGAATGGTACAGTATCCAATATTGATTGCAGTTGAGAAAGTAGAGAGGATTACTTATTGAAAATTATTGAATTTTTATTAGTTCTTGGTAACATTATTGAATTTTTATGTCTATATATACATGTACATAAATATTAATAATAAATAATAAATTGTAATAGTCCATTACAAATATATTTTGGTCTACTTACAAATCAAGAAAGATTGCATAAACCACAACAATTTAATGCTTAGAAAACTAAGGAGGAACCAAATTTACATCAGTGACAAGAAACAAACATAACAAAACAGAAGAGGAAGAGAAAAGCTTGAATAAAATTCTCGAGGCATATTATAATATCAGGTATATATCACAGGATGATACAAATAATGATAATAATAATAAATTTCATGTTTCTTTGCAATTTTTGTAAGGTTTTGGAATCATTGTCTAACTTTGAATCTTGAAGCTGATATTAAAAAAATAATTTCAATCAAGATTGATGAGATTCAATGTTTGTTTATTTGTTTATTTATTTATTATTGAATATCTTAACTATAACTATCTCTTTTTTACTATAAATTTGTTGACTTTTTTACTTATTTATTTGTTTCACATGAAGAACTCAGCAGCCCAGAAATCCAAATGGTTAAAGTTAGTAAACATTTTAAGTTCCTGGTTTAAAAAACCAAAGATTTTATATATATACATATATATATATATATATATATACAACACTGTGACTGTTGAGCATATATGTATTTATAAAAAAAAACTATCGACATTTGTGGTAAGATAGTTTCATCGACCAAGTACAAAAGAAGATGTGCTTGACTTTTTAATGACATGTGCAAAGTATCAATCTAAAAAAAATTATTTCAATTTTCTTTTAGACAACCCAAAATTTCTACAATCTTCACAAGTTCTACAAAGTAATGGTTTTAAAAATAAGTTTTAAAAAAGAAAAAAGAAAGAAAAAGAAGTGCCCACAAGCCACAACTTTTAACGATGTCCAGGCCGTTCTAGATAAACATCCATCCATCCATCCTTTTTGTAAGTTCATAACTTTCTACTCACAATTCCAAACACGACAATTCTAAGCATTCTAAACTCGCATATAAATTGTATAAAAATTGTGAGTTTAGAATGCAATTTTATCTTATGTATAAATCTCTCTTGTTATTTTGGGCACATTTGCGGATTGCACAGCACATGGAAGTCAACCTCATTTTTCATTTTGATTTTGATTACTCTATTCGATATTCTTTGTTTTTTTTCTATATTGCTTCTCAGGGCAAGTCAGATTCTACTTCTGAAACAGAGTTGCAATTTTTACAGCCTTCGAGGTCTGTTTGTCTTTAGTCTAATTTACTTGGTTGCACCCAAACTGGAGCCACCAATGACATCTGACTTGAGTGCGAATCCTTTACCGATTTCATGGGGGATTGTTGCTCACACAAGAAACATACAAAATTTTAAATCAAATGTATAATAAATAATGCCTTCTCTTCTATATATATATATATATATATATATTCAGTTCCAGTTTTATTTATTTATTTTGATTTGATGGAAAAGATGCAGCCAATTGTGACATGTGTGGAATCTTATTGAACAGGGATGGGCAGAGCTTTTTGTCAAATTTTTCTGTACTTTATCAGTATGTGATAATGCTGGCACAATCGTGAACCACCTCACAGAGACTAAGTTATGCTTCTTCTGCATCAGGACTGGCAGCATCAGATGAAATTGTGCTCCACGAGGAATAAATATATTTACAACAACAAATTGTGCGTTATATATATATATATATATATATATATTTACACAATTGTTCTTGTGGAATTTGTTTTCCTTGTTGATTAATCTTAAAACTCAACTCTGTTTTGAATGTGCAAAAGTGTGGGTCACTGCTTTTGCTGTAGTTCCTTTGATATTGAAAGTGAAAAAAAAGTAATAAAGATATTTAAAATTTGAAATTTAAAATTAATATTTTTATAATCTTAAAATGTCATTTGATTTTTTTGATTTTTTTTTGCATATAAATAATTCTCTACAAAATCATTAAAATTTATCATAACGTAGAACAACAAAGATATTTTCTATAGTTAGATTTATGCTTTGAAAAATTAGTTGAGATGTTATGAAAGGAAAAAAAGTAAGGAGATAAAATGCATTTTCTTTCTAAACACTCTAAACATTCCAATAATCAAAATTTCAATTTTGTTTTGTAACTGTAAAAATTATGACTTCCACATTTAAAATCATAATAATAAGATGATATGATATATTTCACGGCCTCTCCTCACTTTGTGTTATCCCTAAAAGCCAAGACTTCTTTAAAACAACCTTGCTTTACAAAATTAAAGAACTTCACAAGGTTTTAGGATCATGAATTTTCAAAAAAGGGCTTTAAAAACATAAAGATTCATTAAAGACACATACAAGAACAGCCATAATAATTCCCACCCACTCAAATCAAAAGACTTCCTTCCTTTCATTTATCTCCTTCACATAAATCCCTTCTTTGTCCCCATGTAATAAATAGATGCACAACAACTACAGACTTTAGGGTTTAGGGTCAGCTACTTCTGAAGCTCTGTTCGATTCTCACTCTTCATTTTCGCTCTTTTATTGTCCCCCTTTTCCATGCATTCAAATGCATTCAGTAGTAAGACAAAGCAACAAAAAACAACAACAGCAACAAAAAAAAACATTGTCAGAGAACAAGCATTGACCCTTATGATTGATTGAGCACTCTCTTACCCCACCTTGCACTCTCATAGAATTCTAGTAAAAACAAAATCAAGGGTGCCATTAATGCTGCCTTCACTAATCAGGAACTTTGAAGAGAGAAGAGAAGAAAAGAAGAAAAACACATGAATATATCAAAACAAAAACAAAAACAAAAAAACAATTATTTTTTTTAGAAAATAATATAATTATTTTGGATATAATTGTTTTGTTATATTATGTACAAAAAAAGTGTATATTCTAAATATTGATGTAAGCGACAGTTTCCAGTTTGTTTTCAATTTACAGTGTCGCAACAACATTCAGGAAACAGCCCAATGATTCATAAGACTTAAGACAGGTTTAATGTTATTTAAAAAGTGAAATTTACTAATGAGTGACTGCAGAAAACCTTAAGTCTCCCTCCTCCTCACAAAAGGGGCAAATGAATGCCACTAATTGAACTCAGGGATTGATTGGATCTGGAGGGTCTACTGAATGGGGTGAGTGATATCAGCATGGGAAGGAGTGCAACAACAAGCAGCACCATCAAACTAACAAACATTACCACCACAAATCAAGGCCCATACAAAACTCTTGTTCTGTTTCCGAAACCCTAATTGGCAACATGCAAACCCTAACTTCTGCGTGTGTGTGGGTGTGTGTTTCTGGAATTGTACGGACCCACTAATGCAAACGCAACATGGACACTTCGAATGGGCCATGTTCACATGTTGCACTCTCACCCACGAGTTGCAAAGCTGGTCACGTTTCTGTGTCATCTCCCTGGGGCATGATCAACGCTCTGTGTTGGGTCGCCCTCTCCCCCTCTGTTGAGACGTAGAGTAAGGTGTTGCGTATGAAGACGAATGTTGTGTTCGTATGTTATCGTCGGAGTTAATTCAGCGTAATACGCGCTGGGTTATTTGAATGACAAGGAATTGGACCTGGCTTGAAGTAGAAATCGAAGTCGAGGAAGAAGAAGCTAAAAGTGGGTCGTCAATCTCGTGTAATTGGGGTGTTTTTGTAAGGGTAGTATTCTTCTTTTTACCCTGTTGTTGTTGTTGTTGATGTTGTTGATGTTGTTTTTGTTTTTTTTTTGTTTTGTTTTTTTTTTTTTTAGGTTTTCTTTGTTGGGTAATTTTGGGTTGTGTACTTCTATTTTGGAAAAAATGGGTTCTGGGTGTGGTGCGGGGATGGAGGTGGCACAAGACACTGGCACTTTACTGTGGGATCTTTTCGTCCCCTCATTACCTCTTCTTCTGCTGGTTCAGCTTGTGTCACATTTGTACCAGTCCTTCACTACTTTTAGAATCATCCGATTCTATGCCTTTCGATGTGTATACTGCTGCTGCGATGCGTTGCACAATCATGGCGCGAATTGAAGGCGAGCAGGAGGGCTTGCCGGTGTGCAGACTAACTGGGTAGGACCCTTTTGAGTTCCCCTGTCTTTCTGGGCGCATTTGCAAGGAAGGGTTTCGTGTTGCCTTGAAGATTTTGGTTGTTGGGTGGCTTGTTGTTTGCCTTCGTCGGGTCTCGAGGTGGGTAACTTGACATAGTGGTGGTATTGTAGTGAATCTCGAAGCGTCGTTATTAGATTTGAGATTTCTCACACTCGGGATGCGTTTGGGAGTTGGATCGTTTTTTTTGATTACAATTCTTGGATCCAGTGAGGGAAGCAGGGGGAGTATCATTGAAAGTTTTGAAGTGCTGTTGAAGTGTGTAAAGGGCAGATGGTGCCCGAGGCAGGGTGTATTTGAACCCAGTAGCCACGGATCCAGGCCACCGGATGAGTGTGGGAATTGCTTCCTGGAGCAACCGTGTAGGAAGTTTTGAATAAAGTCGTTCTAGTTCGTCTTATCGACAGCAAGGTGCTTTGATGAGGCGTAACGGCAACGGAACTTGTGAAGCATTTATTCCAGGAATCAGGAATGTGCTTCACTGGATCCCTCACCACAGGTTTGGAGCACCAACGTAATGTACAAACGTAAGGTTGAACGCAGTTTAGGGACTGAACGTGATTATTGTATGGTTTTCAATGCTCTTCTTACTCTCTGTTGCAATGGGCGTGTCTAGAGGAGCTTACGTTGGAGAAGTTTTAGGAAGTGTTCAATGTTTGGAATGATCTCACTTCATTTACTCTTGGTTGGAAGAATTATGGTCGAACTAACTTCTTTACAGCGGCCGTTATTAGGATACGTCAACACCAATGCTTTCCGCTTAAAGCCCCAGTTGTTCAAAAATCGCTGGCAGAAGTGCATATTCCCTGAAGTCGTCGAATGTCTTGTGCATCAAGTGAGGGCAGTTGGAGATGAGGGGCGCGTGAAAGCATGACAGTCTAGGGCGATTAATCATGCTTATCAATCCGGAATTGGGGCGATATATGTAGGTTGCGAGGTTCGTGGAGATTTCGACCTGGGAAGAGAGACGACTCTAAAGAGGGTAAGGCAGATGGCGAGTGTGATCTGCTAAGGGTCTTCAAATCTTCTCCACAGTGATACATCAGATGGCCATTCGCTTTATCAGGTTCACAGGTGTTGAATTTTCAGTTTATGGTCGCTCATTGACCAGAAAAGGTGGATAGTCAGTGTGGAGATGGAAAAGGCAGAACTCATGAGTGTAAAGTTTAATCGAAAAGCAATGTAAAGCTGTAGTAGTCGAAGTGCGGATGTCGGAGTCTGGAAGGTTGTAAACCTTTGGAAAGAGCAGAAAAGATTCATTGAGGTAATTCCAGGAAGATATGGAGGCGACAAGTCATCCTGCAGTGCACCCTGTGGCTGTTCCTCCACAGTTCCAAGGTGCAGGACCCCCTGCAATTCAGATGAAGGATTTCCCTGGGTCACCAGGCACAGCGGGAGGATTAGCATTGCGGTTCACGCAGTTCGGGTTTTCCCTTATTTCGCTGTGTATCATGGTTTCAATTGCCGGATTCTCCTCGGTAACAGCTTTCTGGTGCGAATCTTTTACTATAGGGATTTAGCATACGTTGTGGATTATGTTTTCCTTACTCTTCTTTCCATGACGAAGTTGCGTTATAACGTTGTCCAAATTGTTTGTATTTTGGGGTTGATAAGCCTCGATGTTCATTTCCCTGTCCTTGTTTGGAACGTGACTGGTGCCCAACTTGTGGTGCAGTTTTCTTGTGGCAACGATGGTATTTCAATGCATTTGGAGCCTGTGTTTAGGGGCTTTGGACATCTATGCATTGCTTACACAACGAAGTTTTCGAAATCCATTGATAGTGAGCCTTTTTGTCGTGGGTGACTGGGTAAGTAGCTCCGAGTCTTAGGCTCCGTGCTTGTGATATTTGTTTTGTTTCATTTCAACGTTTGTATTCATGATGTTGCTTTATTGTTCTTGTAAAAATATTTTGTTATTTGATTGCTTCACACATATTTTTCGTCCGGTGTCTGAATGAGATACCCGCTCTCTATTATGCGGGCATCCTTGCATGAAAGATGTCTTCCTCGTATTGTCTCTAAGCGATCACGTCTTTTGTGGTATATCTGAATCGTTTGAGAAATTGCAAACAGGTCACTTCAACAATGACGTTTGCTGGAGCTTGCGCAGCTGCTGGAATCACTGTGCTGATAGATAATGATCTCGAACAGTGTGGGCCGAACCACTGCGGTAGGTTTGAGGCAGCTGCTGCCATGGCTTTTATGAGCTGGACCGCAACAACGCTTTCTTTCTGCTTATCTTTTTGGCTCTTGGCTTCCTGTAGATAGTAGCTCCGGGTATAGTATGTCTTTCCTTGTAAATTACACGCTCCTGTTTTGGTAACGCTGGAACCCTATGCTAGTGACAAACGTAACGAACCTCCAATGATGAGATCTTCTGGAAGGATTTCGAGTTGGTCGCTGCCCGCCTACGTTTGTATTGGCTTTTGGCCATAGTACTTGGTTCACAAAAACCTTAAGGACTTTCAAACAGTACGTTAGTTAAACAACTCAGTAACCTTGTTGAGTTAGCTTTCAGCTTATATGTAGGCTTGGACGATTGCCCAAGTGGATAGCAAAAGTCAGACACATTACTTCAGTGTAGATCGTCATGAAATCATACATTCTCATCATGTACTTTTTCCAAAGTCTCACTGCAATATCAGGAAGATGCCGTTGCACATGCTATCAGCCTTCAAACTCCTAACATGAGAATCTTGCTATGATTAGTTCGACTTTTTTACGTCAGTGCTTGAGTTCATCAATGTAAGTGTCTGCGGTAGTAGAATGTGTACCAGTTCGACGTTCGTTTCAGCGTGTGTTTTGTGCTTTGATTTCTGTATTTAGCTGGGCAACCATAAACCGGATATTCTCAAGAACCGGTTTATAGTTGGTCTCCCGTTCCTTCAGATCCACCTCTGTTTTCAAGGGGTTGAGTCATGGTTAATTGTAGAGCTCAAGTATTGATGAGATAGCATCAACAGAATAGGAAAAAACTTCAAAGCCTACAGGCTTTGATTTTGTCAAAGAAGCCAATCTCGGTGATCTTTCTGTGGAGAAATATAAAATTTTCCCTTTGGTTTTTGACTTCCCATTTTCCAGCTGTGATCAGTAGTTTCTGCAAGAAATAATCCTGAGAACATTACCTTCCTGGAGTCTGATTCCCGATTGTTGGAGGCTACATAGTTTTTGCTTCAGTTCTTCGAGTCTTATATGCATTTTATTTGCGTTAAGAATTACTTGGATAGACTCTATTTTTGCCTCTCTCTCTTTAACCTGAGCTTGCAGAAGCCTTCTATTTTCATCTGCTATCCTCCTCTGCGCTTCTAGTTTCTACATCAGTTCAACCACAGCATCAAGTCTCAAGTTTCAAGGGTATTTTTTTGAACACTAGAATTCAAATTCATCTTCGACCCAGGCAGTCAACGATGTTAATGAGTATGGTGAATCACTTGATAAAGCCTAGCTGAGTGAAGAATAAATGCTCGTGAAAAACATTAAGATCAGTAGTAAAATTCCATTCATTTAGAAACCAAACCGTGCACTTGTCGTCCCATTGGGTCTTCAATTCATCTAGGTGTTCAAATTTTGAAATCTCTTCTTCCAGAGATGCAATCTTGTCTCGGTTAGTAGCTAACTCCTTTAGATTCTTGTCTTCGTCTTCCTTCAACTGATCCAATTCTTGTTGGCGCTCTTCAACCACTGTTCTCCGAAGCCATCCCGGCAACCTCAATTGATGTGAAAGAAGAGGAAAAAAGAAAAGTGAACAAGGTGCAGGTAAAACAGAATACTGCGTGATTAGAACTCGAAGACTCAGTAAGACTACTATTGTTTCATTAAGATGGAATTGGGGGAAATCCACCTATTAGGAGGTCATCAATATCGATTGCTGAACCACTGGGTTGAGAATTTTCGGAGTGAATATGGCCTTTCGTAATGTCCTCCATACTAGTACGCTCCTGAAATCACCCAAACATTTTAAACCTAACTACCCTGAGAATCTTTCAGTGGCCTCAGAAGAAAATGCACAGTACCTGATTGGTTTGTCTCAGCAGTTGCACGATGCGTTGGTGCACAAGCCGAGCTGCTTCTTCGTGTTCATGTTTCATTGTGTCAAAGCTGTCTATAAAAGCCTGCATCTTTCTCTCTTTTCGTTGCATCTCAAGAAACTTCTCAGCCCTTCCACCTATTCCCAAGTGAAAAAGAGGGTGTGGGTGTTAGCAAGAATAACTTGGCAATTCATACCAGGAGGTTCAAGGGAAGGAGGGGTGAATGAGACCTTTAAGCTCCGAAAGTGAATTGTCAGCCTCGGCAATCTTTTCCTCATAGTTTTTCACCTCGTCCTCCACCTGCTTAATCTTCTCTTCAGCCTTGGCTATTTCTGCATTGTTTTGCCGCATCTGCAAGCATTGACAGTTCTGTTCAAATGTACTGGTCTCTGAAAGAATCAATTCTCTGCAAAGTTTAGAATCATGCATACCTGAGAGGACACCCAAGTATACATAGAGAGTGTACCTTAAGCAGCATAGCTCCTCTAGCTTCCTCAGGAGAGAGCTGAACATTGGGAACTTCTTCAGCCTTCAGTCGGTTCAACTCGACTTCAGCATTCAGTAACTGCTCTATAAGCATGACAGCTTTTTGCTTCGCTGGTGGAGCTGGCCGTAGGTCCTACGCATTCTCCAATTTTATCCTTTTGCATGTGTAAGGCATACATGCTCTGGAAGAGCTGATAAGTATGTGCGTCTGACACGCACGTAAATGCCTAACTTCAGTTGCTAGAAAATGTTGCTTTTAGCCCACCTGCTCTAAAGCATGAGAAGACCCGGTGATGTCTTGAGTTTCCAACTCCAACCTTTCTACTTCTGCGGCAACCCTGCATGCATCCTCTTGAAGTTCAACATACCGTGCCTTGATCTCAGGAGCCTATAAAACATACACAGGATTCGGCATCAGCCTTGTAAGAGGTAAGGAACCTTCTTGACGATAAAAACCAGTTATAATATCTTCACTTTAATCACAATCATAAAGGGGAAATGTATCACTTCGTCGTCAATTCGTCTCCGAATTTCAGCTTCTAAAAATTGAATTTTCTCCTCCGCTGCTTTGTAGCTTTGTTCTTTACTGCAAAATTCCAGAGCAGTACGTAAAACATCCTCCAAATATCGAAAAAATTGTAAACCCAAAGTTCAAAGCAAAACATTGGTGAATCACCGGGTACGATCGTTGAACAGTCGAGCAACTTTTTTCACTACAGCCTCATTTTTCTCCTTGGCAGACCTTAGCTCCTCCTTGAGCTCATCCAGTTCTACACCTGCTGCAACCTGGCCCTCAGAGGGAGACGTTTTGTTGTAGCTCACCTCATAGAAGAACTTCATCGCATGAAGTTCACAAGCTTTGGATTAAGATTATCTTATTGACCACATTTCCACTTCCAACAACTGTACCGACAGCCCTCATCTATATAAAAGCAAATGATATGAGTAGTAACCTTCTCCTTGACCACATTGTAGTCCGCCAGCAGTGATTTCAACGAGATTACCTCCTCGTTCAGAGAATTTTGTCTGCAGACATCCGCTAGAATACAATGTAATTTGATTCTTGTGTAGAGTTCCCTACTGTTTTGCAGTTAACTGTGAAGTAACCGTAACGGTGTATGGGTTATGACTTCTCACTTCTGCTCCAGATAAACATTTGCAGGTTCTCGTTTTTGAAGTCGATCAATCTCATCGTTCATGATATCAATTTCCGCCTGGAGCTCCTGCTTCCGGGTCCTCAATTTGGACAAATAATAAGACTTGTCCTGCACCTGTCGACCAGGTCCTGCTCACGCAGTTGAAAGGATTAAACAACCTCATGTGTCACGTGAATACTCACGAAGGTATTTAGCTTTCAGCGCACCCTGCTTCCCTGTAACTGGCTGCACACGAAGGATTGGGCACTGTTTGTGTATTCTAATGGATAACGGAAGAAAAATCAGCTTTAGTTCTGAAGTGTCAGAATAGAAAAAAGGCAAAACAAAGGAAGGAGGTACGATATCCTAATAAAAGTGACCGAAGATAGATGATACGGCTCTGCGCAGCTCTGCCGAGACTCATTGCGCCGCCCAAGCATTGCCCAGGGAAACCCGAGAGAAAGAGCGCAGCTAGGAATCGATTTCAGTGCTCATATGTGAGTGGTGATAAGATGGGATCAATATGAGAAGCCATGACCCACACAGCGTTGAGATTATTATCACAGCATTGGCCAAACACCTTGGCCATTCGATTTCAAAGTCATCAAGCCTTGTTGTGTCAACGGTCTGCTCTCCACAGTAATGTCAGAATTCAGTCCAAGCGACCCACCTACACACCACACATGAACCAACTGCATATCAATTGCGATGAATGCAAGCTTGTGTTTAGTTCAACTTAAGTTAATGTAGTTTTTTGTGGTTAATTAGGGCTTTAGGATTTATTCGAGAAAGGAGATTGGGATATGAAACAAGGCATGAGCTGCCACGCAGTTTTAGATGCTGTCTTGCAGAATGTGTACCAAGGCGAATGCTGCGTATGCTGCGAGACGTCGAGGGTCGGACAGAGCCTTGGGCCGAGGGAGGTCGTCCACCGTAGCTCAACGAGCTCATCTGTCTCGCGTGATGATCATGCGTGCTTCTGGGCGGCGAGTCTCCCCGTGAAGTTCCTGGTGTGGAGCCCATCGTCGACTTGCGACTGAACTCCATGCTTCCCTTGCTTCACTGTTTCCGGAATTCCCTTCCGTTGAAATGCTATTGAACAGGGTCGCAATTATTCTCGTAACCCTAACTTATTAATCCCAGCCTAAAGTTGAAGATCCCATGAGCTACCAATCGCAAACTGTCATTCCCTCAGGTTCGCACCCACCACTTCGTTTTGCATCTCCGAAATTGAACAAAAATATATCACAGAAAAAACGAACACATTAATTTTACGATGTAAACTTTGCCGCTGGGGCAGCATTTGAATTTTAGTGGTTGCCACCGCAAAAGGGAAATGGCTCCAACGATCCACCCAACAATGAGAATCAGTATTGTTTTGCAGTTCAAGTGCTTCACAAATTGGAGGACTGCAACACAATTCGTTGCTGGTCGAGATCGGACTAGTCCAGCACGCTTCACGATATCATAACAACTTCTCAAAAACAACCATTAGCCAGGTATCGATGCGACGACGGAAACAAAACTTGCCGCACCGACAATAACTTTAAGTATCGCGAAAAACAAAACGCATATCACAAAGCGCAATTTCATACTAAGTAGTAACTTTTGAAAATTTCTGACAACAGCCCCCGTAGCTCAGTTGGTTAGAGCATTGGTCTTATGAGCCAAAGGTCGTGGGTTCGAGCCCCCCCGGGAGCAAAGCAAGGTGCTTTACCATAATGGACCCAAGCAGAGTCGTGACGCCGCGATATTCCATCTTTGAAATCTTCTGGTAACCATGTCAAGGACACAAATGATCTTACGTAATTCTTTTTTCGACACTGAGAATCGCTGGAAGATGGGGTTACCTGCCAGGGAGTGACGGCGTTTGCTTCCTCGACAAAGGACAATGTCAAGGGAAGGTGTTTGGATACTGTCATTGAGATATGCCAAAGACGACACTGAAGTTTTCAGATGAAGAAAATATGAGTATTTTAGCAATGGAGACTCATCTTGCCCTGCTTGGTTTCACGAAAGGTGAGAGTTTGAAAACTGCGGTGAATAAGCGACCAGAAAACAAATGTTGTAAAGTTCCTCCTGAGAGAGAGGTCCCTGGGAAGAGTCTAGGTTGGAGGATTGGTCCTGCACACGGCAAGGTGCGGGAGTAGAGATGTCGATGGTTCGTTGTAGTGCACATGTTCCCCAAGATTGACCTGAAAACTTTGTTTAAATACGCCATCATTTCGAGAAGCACCACTACAGAGCGGAATCTGGAACGTCTCCTTGGACAAGAGGATTAACTGAAGAGTTTTTGTGTTCTTCAGACCTGACCACCTGGTCCTCAGCATCTTCACTAAGATTCATATTTGTTCCTGGATGCAGGGAAATTGCTATCCACCTCTCTATCATGTCTTGCGCAAATATAGGTTGATCGTAGGGCACCTACGCGACACATGCCACAGACGATTCTGTTGACATCAACGAAACATGCCGTCATCTTGTCAAACAGCAAAAACGCACTTGATCAAATTTACTGCTAAAACACTACAGCCCAAGTGGTGAATGGAAAGCTTGAATGTTGGTTGCTTTCTGTTAAAAACAAAGAGGAATCACCTGATGCCCAGCGCCCTGCACGACCACATGAGAGAGATTTTTCCAGCGACGCCAGTAACCTGCGAGTTTCCGACCGACTCTCCAGATCTCGCGCTCAGAAGCCCAGAACCCTTTGATGTGGTCCCATACTATAGCACGCATCCAAGCTTCATTGCAGGCTGGCCCATCCTTGACATCGTATACTCCTTGGTACAGCAACACAGGATACCCCGCTTTCAACACTGCTTCCACCATCCACTTCGTGCTTTTCATGACATCCTGGTGCAGTTTATGGGATCTGTTAGATGTGAATTTCAGGTGACACAATTGGTGCCAATATGACTGCATCGCATTGTATAAAATAGTAGCAAAGGAAGTAAACATGAGTATGAAAAAATGAACTTACTGGAGCCATGGCTTTTTTCACAGTGGGGCGGCTGCTACTCCATGGAGAGGACCCCTTCTCTATTTTCAGAGCAGCCTTTGTTGATGAACTGTTCAGAAACGGTGCCATGAACTCAATGCCATCCTGCAAAGGTACACAGATGACCGAGTTCAAATATATCTTCAGTCTTATCCCAAGGCATGAAGAAAGTTGATTTGTGTGTATCAAACTTCAACCACATGCGATGATTTTTGCAAAGTACACTTACGAAAATCGTTTACCCTTGAACACAACCTGCTGTAACTGAGGAAATCACTGACCTCCCGGTGATGGTATCTGGAAGTGCGACGGATGTCGAGCATTGTTGCAATTCCACTGGCTTTGTAAATGTACATGACCAGTTCAAGGTTCTTCAAGGTTGCCTCCAACCATTGTGCTCTACAACACAGTGGAGAAATTTAACTGTATCTGAATTTTGAGTTAGCCGTTACAGAAATATTGAAGTACTGCTATTTCTGTATGAGTAAATCTTCAATAAAAGTGTTGATCCTCACTTATCAATGAGTTCAACCAAATCACGAGCCATGGCCCGCACTGTAATACATTGCGCTTCATCGATCAAGCCAAAGTAAAATGCGGTGTCTGCAGCTTGAGCGATCTACAAAACATCTATTACTATCAGGGGCAGTCACTGTTTTCTTCATTCAATAAATAAAATATGAAATTCGACATTTTATGAGGTGCACAGGGAACGAAAATTCGAAATGAATCAATGGACAAAGAGTTGAGAGGAGAGACATGAGAGAGAATCCAATGCCCTGTCAATGGTCACAGCCCAAACGGTGACCCGAGCATGAATTATTATCTTTGCGATTAGTTCGGTTTCAACTTGGAATCGCAGAGTGAATGACCATACTTAGTTACCTGAATGATTGGATCTACAAGGCCATTGCCGATGGCCATGCCTGCAAATTGTGCAAAAGCATGTTCCTCTTGATTACGTGTGAGCATGTAGTACGCCAGTGCTGGAACATATTTGCCTGCATAGCTCTCGCCTGCCACAAAGATGGGTCGTTTCTGGAATCCCGGGTTCGACTGGCACCAAAACTGTAATGCGTAGAACAAATGATCTGCCACTGTATGTTCATCACTTGGAATTTCAGAAACGTGCGCAGCTATACTGAAACCAACTCCAATCGGTTGATCAATGAACAACAATCCGCACCTGTCATGGATTTGCACACAAGTTTCTCATCAATCTTCAAAAGACCAAACGTGACAACAACTCATAAAACAGGTGGCTAAGAAAGGCTAGATTTCAACAAAAACATTTGGCATGCTTTTATACACAAGGATGCTATGGTCCAAGCATGTCGAATTTCTCAATGTGCACAAGCAGGAGAGGCAAGTGCCTGCGATTCCAGGCGCCTTCGTTGCGGGAGAGTTTGAGCTTCTCATTGACGCGCCATGGCCCCAGCTCGTAAAAGCATCCAATCATGCTGCTGCATCCCGGCCCTCCGTTCAGCCACAGCATCACCGGCGTCTCACTCACCCGCCGACTGTTATGCGTCGCCTCGTAGAACACGTAGAACAGGCGCGACTTACTGTCCGAGCTGATGGGCAGGTACCCTGACATCGAAGGTGTGGCCTCGTTTGGGAAATCTGCATCCACCTGATCTAGCCCAAGCTGGGCAATCCCTTGCCATCAGCCTCCCCTTCGAGCTTAACTCTCGCGCTCTCACTCGCCTGAGTCTCCATTGACATTGAAACAAAATCATCGCAATAGAAATGCATCTTTGACATGAGGACGAGTTACTTACGTTGGACGCTGCTATGGGGGATGCCACCGGTGTTCTTGGCTGGCTTTTGGGGGCGATTTCGAGGGAAATCCGTCGCTGATTGCCATGGCGCGGCCTGCAGTTACAATTGCCCGCTACGTTGCGAGTATTGGGAGCTACACCAGGTGATTGGCTAGCGGGAAAAAATTTTCTGCCGCTTTCACCGATACAGAGACCGCCTATTGTGCGCAATCGTAGATACATTGTTTGCATTTCTCCACCAGTTGGTTATTTCTCTTTCCTTGTTCCTTACCCACAGAGCTCTGTTAGTGCCAACCGGCTTCCTGACCTTCAAACCCTCACCCTATTCTTGTCACTACAACGGCTCAATTATCTTTGTGAACTTGTGGTATGAGGTGTTTTTAAGCTTGTTCCCCTTCGCTGGCCTCCTTCCTGCTAACAGCTCGCGCTTGCAGGATCAAGACTGTAGAAAGATCGCTGCAGAACAAAGGCTATTCTTTCAGGGCTAACGATGCTGCTTCCCTCCAACTGTCTGTTCTTGATAATTCTTCGCTCCGCTTCAAGCTTAACCTACGACTGCTGTAGACTTGAAATTCAGTGCGGATTAGGAGTAACCCAATATGCGTAGATCAGTGTAGGCTGCGGTGGATGTAACCACGTGTCAGATTCGTTGCAAGCAGTTCGTCGGCACACCGTAACCATGATTTAACTACTGCTTGAGCTAATACTCCTCAGTGTTCGTTTTGCGAAGTGTATCGACTTCGAGTTACGGCTGCTTTGCGGAATTGGAGGTTGGACATGGTTACTGCATTTGTTCGGGTGTTCTTGGAGATTCCCTAGACGTCTACGTTCACAGAGACTGGTGCGGCCCTAAGCAGTAGTATCATAGCCAATTAGCTGGCTGGGGTGACCATGGGAGACCTGCGGACTACCGCGACAAAACTCGGCTTTCTCACCCAGATTGCACTGAATTATGCTCTCGGATCTCGATGGCGTCAGGTAGGCTTTGGATGCGGGAATGAGGGTACGGGCATTCACGCAAATATTTTGTCAAGCCAACAATCGTCATTGAGCTACAAGCTATTAGGAGTTTGACGGTCGATACTGGACAGTTCTCAACAGGCTTACATTATCACGATGCCTTGAAATTAAGCCACAGACTCATCAGGATTTGTGCTAATATTTGGGACTGCCTGGGACATTCATAGTGCTTCCAGCTTCACAAATCAATCCATTCAAGTTCACAATCATTCAAAGCCACATGGCATTGCTTCAAGCTCATTCGCTGATTCTACCCAAGCGGCTTGTGGTTTGTACATTGGATTCGGTCCCCTTGAACTCAAAATTCCAATTACACGATAGCAGTACTCTGTCCGCACCGACCAAGGGTCCTACCATCAACCTGTATACAGAACACACCAGGTTGGGTACATTCACATCTCAAACTACTGCGTGATGTAAAGTAAAACTTGGCTTCACGCGAAACAAAAACCTAAAAATCAATGAACGGGCATTCAAGCACAATCCTGATGCACCAGATTCTGCAATAGCTGAAAAGCAAACACGACAATTGGTGCAATGTTTGCTTTACTACACCTGAAAACGCTTTGAAGCACCGTGACTGGTAGCCAGACCGATAACATTCCTCAAGAAGATGAAACATGGATGCAGCTAAGTGTTGTATTACTTCATCTTCATAACCAACCTGCTACTCGTTACCTCACCTTCACAGTCTCTTAATCAGACTAAACATGCGGGATCTGTTGACAATGCGTACAGTTGCATTGAATAACAGTTTACCTTGTGACAGCGTCTAATACTAGGAATGATGCTAACCTACCGAAAACGTCAGGCATAAAAATAAAAAAAATCCAAAATTGGGATTGTGATTATTGAAAATTTTAATTAATTAAGTTGGTAATCTAGATCATCAAAGGCCCAAAGAGAAGGCTTGTGCAGGAACCACCTCTGTTTTCCCTTGAAGCTCCACGATAAGGTTCTGGATGTCAGCAAATACTTGATCTTTAGGACGGTTTCCGTCCACCTGAAAAAAGCACCAGTATGTTCAATCAAATCAAATAAAATCAAGCCTACAATTTAAATATCTGTATCTAGAACTAAGATTAATCATGAAGAATGCAAGAGAAAAGTTAATATTTGTCGGGAATTGCGTCCAATGTTCCCTGTTTTAGTCAAATGATTGATACTAGTCAGGCATGATTGCCACAGCCAATGCTACTTCTTGACATCTTAAATTACAGCACAGAATGGAAATAGAAACTTACAACTTTAATCACATCCTTGTAAGTATCAAGCACAGACTGTACATTGGAACTGTGTGTCTTCAGCCGAAGTTTCACCTGCAATGAACAGTAAATTAAGTACATAATTAAGTATTTTCGACATTGATCTAAAGCAGCGCATGTATAATGCGCACATAAAACCAATGTGTTCAGTCGAACGGAAAATTTCATTTTCCTATCATTAAGCAATACTGTATCTTCGTGAAAGAAAAGTTTGGAAAATCCACCTTCGCTTCCGTGTCGTCGTCTCGTTGTGTAAGACGAGCAGCTATTTCTGGTGTTTCTGGAGGAGAGTACATAAGATGATAAATCTTTCCAGTGACAGGATCAAGTCTCCTTCCTACTACCCTCTGTACCAAAATCTCTTCAGGCACCTGTACAAGTAGCACTCTTATTACTGAGAAGATAAGGGCTTATCATTTCTGCCAGATCATTAGAAAACTATTCTAAAAATGAACCATCAATAATGAAAAAAAGAAGTAAAGAAATAACAGGCAATTCAAAGATGATAAAGACATGCAACTGCTATTCAGATTTCAGTCTCTATCAGAGCACGTGGCAAATGGTGGCATGCAAAAGAAATACACTATAAAAAAGTAACGAGAGTAAGTATGTCCCTTAGTACGCTTTGGTAGGTAACACTTGCCTCTAGGAGGATAAAAATCTGTGGATGAATATCAAAAGCTTCCAGGGCTTCTGCTTGACTTAAGCTACGAGGGTAGCCATCCAAGAGCCATCCATTTGGTGCTATATCGAGCTTATTTTTCACCATCTACACAATTCGAAGAAGAGTATTATCATTACTAGCGAAGGCAATATTCAACAGAAAATTCAAATAGTTGCAAGAATCCAATATAGAATTATGTGACAAAAAACTTATAAGGCAAGCTTCTTACTGCAACGACAATCTCATTAGGAACAAGCTGACCCTTCTGCATGTACTCTTGTGCAAGCATCCCGGCCTCTGTCCCTGCTGCCACTTCTGCCCTCAGAAGATCACCTGTCGCTATGTGGGTCAAATTGAACTGTCACGCCGCAAATAAAGATCGGTTACATTAGTGTAGCTTACAGCCCGCAACATCATGCTATTCCGTAAATATCAATTCGGCACTAAACCATGCCAAGGAGAACTAATAATCTCCTTATATTATCAGGCAATTTAAAGGGAAATGGATCATGCAACGATTTCGACAGTGAATTATCCATATCACTGCTTCCGATGCTCTGCTTCAAGAAGAGGATCCTAAGGACCTGTAGCCAAGATACTATATACCGTTCATGCCTAGCGATTTCCGTATACCGATCTTATCTTTATCCGTGTATACAAGGATGGCTATCTCGACAAGTGAAGAAAACCAACCAAATGAATGCAAACAAAGAGAGGTCGTTCATGTACCACAAAATAGAATTGCAGCAGCAAAAATAGGAATGAATTTTACATCATCCGGTCCACACACAAGGATAATGTCACGGCAAATACCTGCTCTACAATCATTTCACATTGGGTACCTTTCCCAGATGCTGGAGCGCCAGAGATCATGACCCTCAGCGGAGCTAGCTCGCCCTGAACTGCCCGCGCCGGTGAGCACTACAACACAAGGGGACCAAATTTATTCACGTGTAGCGAAAAGAAACAATTGTGGTGGAACTAAGCAAACCTAATTGGTTCGTTGATTACAATTCTCCTGCAAGACCAAGCCCTAAAACACAAACAATGTCGCCTATAAAGAGGCAACCTCACGAAATTCAAGGTGTTAAGTTTCAAGGAGAAATGAGCAATGCGGGCATATTCTTTGCATGAAATATACTATACATTCATGTAGGAAAAAGGTCGTGCACCTTCAGAACTCGCGATGATTTCCTGCTCTCAATCAACCCATTGTCAAGTACGATAGAGGAGGGCAGAACTGCTCCTAACGAGTTCCGTCTCCCATAAAAATGACTGCCGAATGGCTGCTGCGCTACGAACGCGCAGGTCGTCGCCTTGAAGGAATGAACACGAACAGCAGAGAAGGAAGCGGAAACCGAAAAGGAAGAAGATGAAGAAGACGAGGGCTGGAAACGGGGAAGAGAAGCAGGAGAAGTCGCAGGCTGGGTCACAGGCGACAGGGCATATCCAACGCCCGCCATCCTTTCCAACCCCAAAATCCCAGCCTATAAAACAAAAACCACTCCTCTCTCACACACAAACATGCACCGCAGAGTCACAGTTCAAAAATCCAACAAATACTCCTCCTCGTCCGTCAGTGACCCAAACTCGTGAGGAGAAATTCACATTCTACCTGCGGCATCCCCACCACCTCTTGGCAATGAATGACGCATATCCATCGAAGCACGGGATTCTGCTTCATCCTCAGCCGCCCTCCCTCCCTCCCATTCCTTCCCCTCCCTTCTTGCATATTTTTTGTAAATTCTGCCAGGAACCCCATTTCCATCGCACATACACTTATATATATATATATATATATACACATACCTACATACATACACACAATAGTGCAAACCTGTGCAGTTGGCCATGGTGCAAAAGCTATAAAAGAAATCTTAACCAAGAAAAAAAAAGAAAAAGAAAAAAAGAGTATATGCATAAAAATTAAATCATTTATATTTCTTCATTATAATTGGAAAACATGATTTCTATTTATTACAAAAATTTAAATATCTATGTTAATTTTTTTTTTTGGAATAAACTACATTTATGGTGGTGTTTTTGTCTTCATTATTTTCAAGATGTATAATCTTGAACATGTTTGAAATAATGCATTATGAAAGAGCAACATACAACTATCTATATGCAAGCACAGGGGTTCTAAGATATATTCCTATGTTCTTTAATAATTATCCTTGAGATTTGTTAATTGTTATTTCAAATCTTATCTTTATTGGAAACTGCCTTTACAATAACTTAAACAAAATCTCTACAAATAATGGACATAACGTAATCATTGGAAGAAAAATTAATTGCACCTTGTAGAAAATTACCCTTCTTCAAATAAGAATATTGCTTCTATAACTTAATCAGTCAATTGCATAATGACCAAGTATAATCTATTTCAAAGTCTTTGATGCAAAGTAATGTTTTGCAATAACGTAACAAAACATTTGAGAGTTCACTTAGAACAATTCATTTAGAATAACATGAGCTCTATAAGTGCAACTTATATAGTTTTTATTACTTGTAAATATTATATTTTTGTACTTCCCAAGTTTGGAAGAATAAAAAGAATACAATACATGATATTGTAGAAATTATTTTTTTATTTTCTATCATGGTAAAAAATATGAATATTCATGAATTTTTTTATTTTATCATTGCTCTAGTGTATTGTTTTTGCCTCCCTAAACATGTTGTAGCCATAGAAATTTGAAGATGAATGCAAAGTTTGAAGGCATTCGAGAATAAACAATGATGATTGAGTTTTATTGACTAAAATCTCTACCTTATAGTTTGTTGACATGAATTATAGAAATAGATAGCATTCGCCATTCAAAGTCAAATATTTAAATGTTCATTTTTGTTCTTTGATGTATCAATTGGATTAATTTGAAAAAATTATATTTAGATATATAAGATAAAGATACTATATAAAAAGATGCAAGTGACTATAATCAATTCAAATTAGCAAATGAGTGCCAATTACATTTCTATTACTTGCTGTAATATATTAAATTACTAAAAGTAGAATAATCAAAATATTTGAATTACTTCGTAATATTTTAAAGAAACATTTTGGAGCATAGATTTTAGTTGCTTATCTTTATGAGATGTCAATTCTTTCTCATCTCAAAAAACTAATATTTACTTAGATAGGTAACAAATGCCAAAATAATATTGTTTGAATAAGTTACAACAAATGTAATCAAATGTTAAAAGTGTTTAAAAGGAGCAATGGCTCTAGCTACATCCTTGGATTTTAATTCATTGTCTAAATTTTAGTAACACAAAATCAATCATTTCATCTTTCCACGAAAATTAAAAAAAATTAAATGGATTTGTATTATCATATTTAATCATGAATTATTTTTTTCATATTCAAATTCAAACATTTAAAAAAATCACCCCTTCTAATTTGATAATGTTTGCTATGGTTTGGTGAGAGATCTTTCAAGAGAATTGACATGTGCATGTATACTCATAGCAAAGCTTTGAAACACCTCATAAAACTACAATGTTATCAAAACCTAGTTGACAATAGAACCATTTGAAAATAATCAAATTGATCTAGCCAATTTGGCTAGAACAAAGTGTATTTAATACTTACCAATTTTTTTTAATATATAATAAAAAACTACTAATAATATAATTTATGGAATACTAAACTAAAAAAATATAGAATAGAATATTAGAACAAAAAGCCATCTTTGGAAGAATTAATTTCTAAACAACCTAGTTGCAATTTTTGCATCAATTTCTTTATCAACCATTCGTTTGAATTCTACTTCACTCTTTTAATTAAGAAAACATTATCAAATAAAAGATTCTTACTATCTAATAAACTACCAAATGGTCTAAGATTGATAAAGCAATTATTCTTTCAAATGTAAAACTTTATAAATAATTCATTTCATATATAAACTTAAATACAAAATTTAAATCAATTACAACTCATTTTCAATCAATACCTTGTAATTAATTTTTATTTTTTTTTATATGCTTTGTTTTATTGATGCATTGATTCTTCTAATACTAGACAATCAAGAGTTATCCTACATGAGAAGTTTGATGGCATAAGATCCAAGTTTTGAGGATTTATCAATTAAGTATAACTTTTGATTAAACTTAAATCCCAAAGTTATCCAATTCTAAGATCACAAGTTAGATTCATTGGTATACTTCTTTCAAGTTTAGTATTACCATGGTTTTCATCTTTTTTTGAATGATAAGATCTAATATTAGATAATTATAGAGGCTTTTTTAGTAAAATTTTGATCTATATATAGAAAACATAATACAACTTATGTCACAACCAATAAGATCCATATTTTATGACAATACAATTGATCTGTAACATTATATACTTTACAATTTTAATAACTTACAACTGATATCAAGTGGGATGATGTTGCACTTATTAGTCAATTTTTCTATAGGTTACAATATGAGGTAAAGAAATTGATGTTCAACTTCCTAATCCTCAAATATTCAGTCAAGCAATTGACTTTTTTGTAAAGTGTGATAATTGACTTTTTGAATTTCAATCTAAAAGTTGGTTGAGTGGGCCTTAATATTATTATAATTCAATGGCAATAACAACGCCTCTTCAACATATACATTCAAAAATAGAAGATATACAAATTGATGCAATATGTTTCAAAACTCTTATTAAGCAAGAAAAGACTAGTCGCTGTCAGGAAGGATTGAACTTATATTGTGGAGAACTTAAGTATATTGCTCAATATCATCTAAAGAAACAATGCAATTATAAAATGAGGAGTACAAATGTCAAAGAAGATAATATATTCAAAAACAAGTTTGTTTAGCTATAATAGGAACTATGTGGCTAGAACCTTGTACAATATCTAATGAAGGTTCTATTCTCCTTAGAATCCTATCCTTGTTTTATATTGAATATTATTTTAGGACCTACACATTACAAAGCCTCTGCCTTGTTAGATTCAAGAGCCTCAACGTGTTTTTTAGATAAAGAATCTACTAAAAGACTTAACATATCTTTAATAAGGAAAACTAAACCTATTCACGTAGAAGTCATAGATGGTCATCTATTGTCTTCTAAAGATATTACTTACAAAATCCTTCCTATAGAAGTAATAACCAATGGTCATAATAGCTTTGTAGTATTTAATATCATTAGTTCTTCCTCTAATCCAATCATTTTATATTTATTGTGATTAAAAAAATATAATCTTTGAATATATTGGATTTCTAGTACTATCAAATTTTTTAAAAGTATAACTAAGGGTATAATTAATCAAGTAAAAAATTACAAATCTAGTACAATTAATCTTATGTTTGTAGGTACAAGAGCTTTTTTACATGCTGCAAAAAAAACATCACCCTGTGTAATTTATGCTACATCCATTTCTAATGGTGCAAAGATTTCAAGTGGCATTCCAAGCTAATTTCAAGATTTTAAAGATATATTTGAAAAAAAAAATGCAAATACTCTTCTAAAACATTGTTCCTATAAAACCCAATATTCATTATTTTGAGAGAATTCCAGTGAATTGAGAGCGTTGAGGAGGTTTAAAAACCAAAAGCATGAAGTAGAGGTCCTTCTGGAACATTGAAAATTGGTGGAGTACAATGAATTCAAATTGAAATGTAGAGAATTTTATTTCAAATAATCACCAAATATACATGTCGTGAGTGTAGAACTTACTAAATAATTTGCAAACTTAGAAAACCTCATCTACAACCTCAGAAATAATCAACTATGAGCCATGCAATGTACACTTTAGAGTTGTAATGGCTTATCGCAGTTGTACTCAGCGATTACACCCTATTGAAATTTATTGAAATTTGTATCAGTAGTCAAGTTGCTGTGCTCTACAAGATTTGAGCACAATAGCATTGCACAATGAATTGGAGTAGTTATTTCTACAACAATGTCATGGCTCACATTTCCTTTTCAAATATTGCAATGTAGAAAGGGCTTTATGTCTTGTTGTGCTGATGTAGACTTTGCTGCATTACGAAGTATCTCATGGTTGTCATCTCGAAGATAATCCGGTACTTTCGGCAACACTTTGTCATAATTAGCATCTCCATATACTTTTTTTTGCATCAATCTTACAATAGTTAATAGGGACATGGTCGGAGCCTCAACTTCCGTTGCACGCAGTGTAGAGGGCCTGTCCAGGTCAGACAACTGCACTTTCTTCTCCAAAGGACTATCCACCACCCCATCGTCAACAGGCTTCTTAGAGAAGTCCATAGTCGAATTGACAGAAGGAGCAGAGCAAAGGAAGTTTCCTGTGCTGAGAAGAACGTTCTGGCCGTAGTCCATGATGGAATTTGCAGACACTTTGCATTGCAATCGACGGACCTGTTTCAATCCATCAAAAATTTCAGATCAATACAATTTGAAACGAAAAATCCGATTACCTATCCATACAAACACTTGTACTTGTCATCCACAACATTCTCGTACTATCGTGAGGTACTGACATGGATGTAAACACATAAATCAAGAACTGGAAATGCAGTTGCAATAAGATACATGGTACATCACGACCACGTTGCATGAAACACTACACAACACTATCCATTAGAGAATTGCACATGACCTCCAACTCCTATTTCCACATCCATGACAAGTAAACAAATGTCCATTGATCCAA